GATAATTCTGTACTAAGGTAATCTTTTTGATCATTGCAGTTTAGCATACTGTTAATCATGAGACCCAAGGATTTAGTTTGTGGAAAAGTATCTGTGATCTTATCTTCTTCCACTGAAGTTTTAGGGCCAGAATTTAACATTCTGGTTGAACAATTAATAAAAGCAGCCTTCTGTATATTTACTCATTAAAGTATGAAATTATGCTAGTTCAAAACAAATTTTCAGAAATTGTTAAGGTATTTAATTTGGAACGGTTTAAAATTAAAGAAGTGTCGTCTTTGAATGTTATGATTTTGCCGTTATCGTCACTATTTATGTCTATGACGTAAATTAAAAATTCTAGGACTGGACCCTGGGGGGTCCCAGTCTCTAGCATCCCCTTCTCTAACGGTTGGAAAAGAAATGTTTATTGCTATGCTTGACTGAAACAAATTGTTTTCCATTTAGCATGCAGCACTATAATTAGGTGAAGCAAAAAGCTTCCTATTCCATAATTTTTCAAATTTTCAAAAAGAATTATTAGTTTCATACAGCCAAAATATTTCTGGAGATAAAAAATACCCCAAAATTATAGTTGTTCTTTTCTAATGCATCAATAAAAACCTAAAGGAAATCAGCAATTGAAGTGATAATGCCGCAACCCCTAGGTCTAGCCTGAAGTAATGTGAAAAACAATTCCAGGCTCGTGCCTAGCGTCCTAGGAAAAAAAAATGTCATGCACCCCACGTTATTCGTTTAAATTTTAGAAGTATTTATTCTCTCAACATATTTATAAACTATTTTCTACTTTTTAGTGCATTTAAAAAACGTGGGATTTTAAAAAAGTGTTTCGATTTATAAATTAGTTTCTACTTTTTAGTCTTTAATGTGTAAATATGTTAAATCTATCTTATATGGCCTGTTAATACATAACCACAACCTTATAATCTGAAACCAGATGTATTACCTTTGCTAAGAAATGCTACAGTTAAGTACAGTATACAGCTTACTTAAATTAATTGATATATTTACATTCTTTCAAAATTTAAACATGAAAATTGTTAAAGCTCATTGAGCTTAGCCCAAGGTAAATATGAAAATAATATGATACAGTATTGCATTGGCATCCATTTTTTATCTATGTTTTAAGTCTATAAGTCTCTAGCTCATCATTAAGTTAGTTTAAAATCGATATCAAAATTTGTACCGGACAAGAAAGAAAGCTAATAGAAAAAAGCACATGGGGCGTAGCCCAAGGAAAATATTAAGAATTCAATGATATAATTTTGCATTGTCATCTATTTCTGAGATATGTTACAAGTTTCAAGTCTCTAGCTCATTGGGTAGTTAGTATAAAATTGATTGCAAAATTTGTACCGGACAAGAAAGCGAGCTAATACAGACGTTTTAAAATAAATACACAAATAAGAATTACATGTGAAAGTTGAAATACCTCAAATTAAAAACAAACAAATAAACGTCTGTTGTCTATATTATTATTCCGTAAGGTTAACATGGCCACTGGGGGAAAAGCGCTTACCATATATTGAGCTAATCTTAAAGTAAGCAAAACTTCAGAGTATGCTCTTTAAAATTACACCAAAAGTCTAAATCGGTTGAAAACTGTAGGAGAAGTTCTGTTAAGAAAATTACTCCTTCCAAATAAATAACGTACTTGTGTACCCATTGCTCTAAACCGAGCTAGGCCTATTGCTAAGAATTACAGGATTTATTTCAAAACGGAATGAATTCTAAATAATGTAATTAAATCCAACAATAAGTTTAGGTTATAATGTATTATATTCGACTTATTAAGTAAATACTAAGTATATTTTTTAAACAATATTTAGGCTGTTGTTAATATTTTATAACTTTTTGTGAACTGACATTATTAATTAGTGTTTTACAAAACAATTGAAGCCCTCCCAAGGAATTTTCCTGACTTGCTCTTACATAAAGTTGCCCATCTACAAATGCAGAAAATAAATACCATATATTCATCTGGTAATATTCAACCCTTGCTATTCACTGACCCAAAACTTTCTAAGGGTCATAGGTAAAGGTTAAATTACCAAAAGCTTTACCCGCATTCACCAGACTAAATGACAGTCATCATTCAATTTTACATGATCCTCCAACTCAAGGAGCCCCAGTACCTGAATAAGAGGCTGTGGCACCGTGATGACCTCTCACAATAATCGACTTATGAGCCAAATCCTCCTTACAGAGGGCGAGGATAGGGCTCAGTAGGAGAAGTTTCTCATATTTCAGGGCAATCCATGTATTACGGATTTCCTAGGAATCTTAGGACAATTATTGAGTATTTTTTATTGTGTATTTTAATACAACTTTCTCCAAAAATTGCTTTGCTAAGGAAGCGTTTTAAATCTTGGTTTTCTCTTCATTTTGACCCAAGGAATCACTTCGTAAATTACGTTCCCACCATTTTTGAACGGAGGTTTGCATAATTTTTTTTTAAATGACTTTTAAATGGTGAGGAAATCGACCAAAGTGATCATATAAAAAAAGTGGTCATATCGTGATTAAAACTTCTTACAAACTACTATTATGCTTTTCTTGAAAATACTCAATAAAGGCATTTAAAAGAAGCCCCCAAATAAAATAAACGATATCAGCAATCTGACACATACTTTCTCCCATTACCTTGTGAACAACCTTTACGGGTAAGTGGTGGGAGTAACTATTATTTTTGTACTATTTCGTTTAGAATTATAAGGACCATAACAGACAAAATTTGAATTAGAACCGTTTTTTATCTTTTTTTCCGTTTCTTCATGGGTTTTTATGGGAAAATAACATAAGTTACAATATCTTTTGAACCATAGTTTTTACAGCAATGGGAGGCGGCAATATTTTGTCAAGAATTTTAAGGACCATCACATACTACTTTCAATCAAAACCAGAACATTAAAAAATCACGTTTTTTTATGTTTATTTTTTTACTTTTAGTTGGTATCAAAATTCCCCTTGGGAACCCGAAAATGCATATTAGGGCAGCTCAAACATGTTAATAAAAAACTGTTCATGTTACCTTTTGCGTCAAGTATCTGTGTTGTAGTTAGCATCAACTACAACGCGGATCGTTTGACGCAGAAGGTAACATAAACCATTTTATATTGTAATTTACAATCCAGAGGCTTACCCTCCATGAAATCAAAAATGTTAGCCTGAACGTAATGCCAGGTAACTGAACACTGCCGCCATTTTATACTGGGTTGAGATACGGACCTCTGGTTTTAGCCAAAATTCGTTTAAACTAAAGGCCTTAAAACGTAGTATTTAAAAAATTCTGAGTTGCCCCCAAAATCTCCCGGACAAAATTTACATACCGACCAAAACGTTGTTATGGTTTCTTTTTACGGTAATACTGAGTTTATTTTTCATGGTACAACCCATAAAACCGTTATTGATGTATTTTTTTACATGGGATCTCTCAGACTGATGAAAAAAATGCCATTATGTAATTGATTGAGATAGAGACCACTAGTTTTCACAGATATTCTTTTAAAGTAATGAACAGGAGAGTAACAGAACAGAGGAAAACAGTAGAGTGCTGCCTTTAAATGAGGTGTCACTTGATGGGGTTTTACATTTTACATTTTGAGCTGTCCCCAATATAACCCATTATTACCGAGACACCTACAGCATAGCTACTTCCTTATTGAGAAATTCGCTAAAAATGGCCGTAGGTAAAAAGTAGTGTACGCAACTAGCGTTTTCAAAACGTTTTTATTACCTCGTTTTCTTGTCCGGTACAAATTTTGAAATCAATTTTATACTAACTTCCCGACGAGCTAGAGACTTGAAACTTGAAACATTGCTCAAAAATGGAAGACAATGCAATTTTATATAATTTAATTTTCCTATTCCCCTTGGACTACGCCCCATGGGCTTGTTTTTAATAGCTCGCTTTCCTACAAATTTTGATATCAATTTTAAACGAAGTTCCCGATGAGCTAGACACTTGAAACTTGAAACATAGCTCACAAATGGATGACAATGCAATATTATATAATTTAATTTTCATATTTCCCTTGGGCTACGCCCCTTTGGCTTCCAAATTTTCCATGTTTACATTTTAAAAGAATGTAAACATATAAATTAATTTAAGTCGGCTGTAAATACTTAAATTTGACAGTTAGAAGAGCAGAGGTTAAGAGGTACAGGTTCTGCTCCCAAGATATTCTAAAAATATTAAACAATCATTTTAAAGTAAAGATAAACATCTGATTACCGATAATAAGGTTTTGGGTTTTGCTTATGTATTAAGAGGCTATATAAATAACTATTAACATATTTACACATTAAAGACTAAACACTAGAAAATAATTTATAAATAAAAATACTTTTTAAAAATGCCACATTTTTAAACACACTAAATAGTATAAAATAATTTATAAAATGTTGAGAGAATAAATACTTGTAAGATTTAAAACACAAAAAAACGTGGGGCGCATGCAATAGATCATAATAGTTTAATAGGTTAAGTTTCAGCATGCGCCCCACGTTTTAGCGAATTTCCCTTTAGGGAAGTAGCTATTTCGTTTTAAATCTTACAAGTATTTATTCTCTCAACATTTTATAAATTATTTCATACTTTTTAGTGCGTTTAAAAACGTGGCATTTTTTAAAAGTATTTTTATTTATAAATTTTAGCCTTGAAGACACTCGTAGAAATTATAAAGGCACTCGAAAAGGCCTTAAATCTAAAATGTTCTACTCGTGTCTTAAATACTACCTTTACGCGATCGATGCGTAAACTACTATAACAGCTGATTGTTGTATTGTTATTTCCTTGATTTTTCTTTGTTTAGAATTAGTAAAGAAAGCATCATCATGTAAGTTTTTCTAGAAACGGTGTATTTAACCACATCGGGCTATGTTGCTTATCAGTAATAAAATGTATAAATGTATGGCATTTTTAATTGTGATAAATCTGTGCGAATAAAATAGTGGTTCAGGGTTAGAGTTCAGGAGTATTCGAATTACTTAAAGAGTCTTTTAATTTATCTGTATAACTTATTGCACATAATTTTAATTATAAAGAAATTACCATTGCCTTCTTCCTGACAATTATATAGAGAGACTTCGTATCAGAGTTAGAAGATTGCGTTGCTGACGTACGGGTATCCGTCCAGGAAGGCGTCTACGTATCCCAATCCAAATCCGGGAATTCCGTATCCATATCCTCCAGGACCTTCGTAGTAAGGACCTTCGCACTCAGGGGAGTAGTAACCTCCGTATCCTCCATGTCCGTAGCCGAATCCACCCCACGGCTCGTAGTAGTTTGGTGTGGGTGCTGGGACAGGGGCAGGGTATGCTAAGGGCTGGGGCATAGGCTGAGGCATTGGCTGAGGCATTGGCTGAGGCATGGGCTGTGGAGCTGGGCGAGCTACTGGGCCAGGGCCTGGGCGGGGCATAGGCCCAGGCGCTCCTAAGACTGCCACAGCGGCGAGTAGCACTCCTAAAACAAAACCCACATGCTTAACTTTTTATAACATAAAACGACGTAATTAACTTTTATAGTTAAGTAAAAATAAGTAAAATGGTTATTTTATTGGCTTTAGATATTTAAAGATTATGCAATATAGAAAGGCACGATAAGTCAAAGACGTAGCATCTTTAATTTTATCGTTAATAAGACTAAAACAAATTGTTCTTTGGAGAAAATACTGTGATAAATTATTTGAAAAGTATAACCTTTGTAAACACAGGAACTGTATGGCCTTTACCACTGCTAAGGGCTACACAGTAAAAATGAGTGTCAAATAAACAGACATGCTTTACCTGATTTGTTAGTGACTCCTCAGCGAGACTGATGTGGATAATTTGGTCACTGTTCACCGAAGAACAGCAAAATATTTTGATAGCTAAAGATGTTGTTGAAATGTATGAAAAGGTCGAAAATTATGGAATGTCTAACATGTTTATGGGACCAGCTGGAATATATATTCTACGGTTTTATTGTTATTTAGAATGGAGTTTAACTTGGTGACTTAAATATGATTCAGATATTATATCTGAATTATTATTATTATTAATTATTATTGTTGAATTATTATTCTTCTTACTAAGTCAACGAATTAATTTGGAATAGGTCAGGTTGTAAGGCAATGTGTTAGGGCATTGCTAGTATCACAAGTAGTTTATAGGAAATAAATCTACTTATCAGATATAAGGGCATATATTAATGTTGTACGTAGCATATGGAAAAAGTATGTAATACTATGTAAATGACTTTAGAAATGGTGTAGTTCTTTGCTAGAGTATGTGTACGTAGATATTTTAAACTAAATTTGACTTAGTTAATGTTATTGAACTTTAGGACACCCAATGGCATAGAATGCAATAAGACATTTTCAATCCTAACAAACTCTAACTACCCTTTCACTATCACTCTTAAACACTCTTAAACGTTGATTTTCTAAAAGTTGTATAGTATTTTTTTATCAATATATTCTTGTACATGAACAACAGCTTTTTAAGTATATTTTCTTAACATTTGTATAGTATAGTTTTGTTGCTTCATAAGTACATATATCCTGTAAATATACAGTAGTTACTGTACATATCCTGTATTTTTAACCAATTAATGTTACTTAACAAAATGCAGATTACAAACTACAGATATGGTGTTTTTTAATTGTATTTTAATCGTTTCAGCTTAAGACATTTTAAATTATCCTGGCGAAATGTATAATAGTTTTTAGCATAAAACACCCAACAACTTATTTTTATATTGGTAATAAAACTATGAACAAATAGTGAAAAAAACTGTTTATTTTCTTGTCTTTTAACTAATTCATTCTCTTATCTACTGGAGTATAATCACAGTTTTACAACTAGCAACTATTTTTGCAGAACAATGTCTACCAGAAAAGACTTAAGAGTGTTCTAATTTAGAGAGATTTAAAACTGAAATGTTCAGTAGTAAAGGCCTCCGTATCCATAGCCGTAGCCAGGGTAGATAACCTCCTCAAAGACCTCAGGGTACACGGGACCGCCGATGAACTGCTCGTAAGGTCCGTAGGGAGCTTCGATAACGAGCTCCTCGACTCCGAAACCTACTCCGTAGCCTCCATAGCCTCCATAGCCATAGCCGCCGTAGAAGGGAGCTGCGTTAGGAGCGGGTGCCGGGGCAGCTGCGGGGTATGGCATGGGCTGGGGTTGGGGCATTGGCTGAGGCATGGGCTGCGGGTATGGAGCGGGTCCAGGTCCTGCCATGGCCCTGGGGTTCGGCATACCCAACACTGCCGAGCACGCGATAAGAAGTCCTGAAACACAATAAAGATTATTAAATTGGTATTTTATTTTAGTGTTCAATTTTGAAATGTGCTCGGCAGTGTAGGTTTGAGTCATTGGCCTTGCAATGGACATCCTAAATATTTCGATCAGATGTAGCTAATTTATTTCCATTCAAAACAACATTTGTAAAATGAGGCAGTCGTAGATTGCATTTAGTGTGATATATTTGAAGCGACTTAAGAGGAGCGATAGCTCTTAATAAGTCGTCCTATCATTTTTACTTGGCAAACACGTCCACGTATTCGACAGAAATCAGTAATGTACATCAGCAAAATCCGTCGAGGGCTCACTCCAAATATGTCAATTTTGATTGGAAGCCGGTGTCAACTTTAACATGGGGATGGAACGTCTAGGTCCATTAATAGTCACATGTTTGAGTGAATTCAGACATTATAGCGAATCTCGGTTGTATTTACTAATATTGAAATCCAACGGTTACTTGTAACAGAATTTTTGCGTATCTTTCAAGTAAAAAGTTATTTTCAGTCAAATGTCGTAAACATTTTGAATAAAAAAAAGAAAAATGTACAATAGTAAATGGAGGCATTCTTTTATTTTTCTTAATCTATGGTTTATAATAGATATTGTTATTGTAACGTAACTACGACACGACACCTGGAACTACATAACCCTTAAAACCCCTTTCATCATTTTAGAATCTATTTGCGTTTATTAATAACGAATGCCTACTTCTTACTCAAACAAAGTCGCTAAATTTGAAATTAAGTTATAATTTAAAGTGAAAGTGTAATATATATATTTCTTTTTGGTAAATCATTGGTAGTTACATTAGATATACCTTCATGTCGATATACAGATAATAACCCTTTTTTATATTTACAAGTATGCAATTTTGATTGGTAAATATGTAAAAATATAACTGGTCTTGGACAAAATACAGACTTTTGTTTTGTTAGGGTAAGTAATTATCATTGTTGTTGTAAGAATAGTCTGTTAATCATGGTTAATAGTGTTTTAAAATTTAATTCAAACTCCAAACCATACTAACTCACGGATATCAATAATCAGATATACTGTATGTATACATGAGAATACTATTAAAATAAGAATCAATAGTAAAATCTGAAAAAATACAATACAAATGTTTAAGTAATAACTAGTTTCATGGTAACTGACTCATTTACAATAATAATATTTTATAAATACAAAAACCACTAATATTATTATTTATTATAATACAAGTTATTATTTTTATATTTTATAATTATTTATTATAATATTATTGTAATATTCATTTATATTGTTCTACAATATGACTACCGAAAGTGTTAAAGGATGTATAAGTTTAGAGAACGTAATAATTTATTGCCTTACTGTTGGAATCATCAACTAAAGAAATATTTGTATATTATATTATTGTATATATATTTGTATGTTAGTATAAATCCAAACTGTTCAAAAGATTTGAGCACACCTGACACTCTACAGGAGGTTTGTTGGATTTTGAATTTATTAAAAATGCTAACCAAATTCCTTTTACATCAATTCATTATATATAATGTCATAAAAACACACGTATACACATGTTAAATAATATACAACATATACAACAGGTGAACATGAATATGGCGAGTGTATAATGTATTCGGATGCCTTGTTTGATTTAGGCACTGACTAAGACCAGTTATAGAGCATATGCAGGATAATCGAAATTATCCACGTCAAATTTGTACACACAGTAGGTTAAAAGTCTGGTTACAAATAATACAGAAATACACTTCACAAGATTCCAGTGAATTGCCAATATAGTTTTGTATTACCTAATTTTCAATGTGTTTTAAGATTATCAGGTAGTTACACCTTTCATATTTGTAGTGAATAGACTTACCAAAGAGAGCGATCATGATACCGCTCGAAAGACGGGGTATAATAAAAAATCAGAAGTCAAGGAATGAGACGCTCCCGCTCCTAAGAACACAACTAAACGACTGGGATGTATGTCGCCGCCTCTTCCTTATATACCTTCTTATTTACACATCCAAATGTAAACAGTAGTAAACTGATCAGGCCAGCTATCACAGTCGGCTTGTGTTTGTTTTATTGAAAGTATGATACTTTATTTCTCTATAGTTAATGGAAAATATTCTTCTCTTATGAGTACGTTCTATAGAAACGTGATTTGTAGTTGTTCTCCCCACCGCGTTCGAATGGCCACTTAAAATAGGTAAGATCAGTTTTGTCCTGGGTACGCTGGTGGGGGTGTGATTTACGACACTTTATCATTATTTGTTTTGAAGTTTCCCTGTAGTGTTTGTACGACTGTTCTGAATTGAAGAGCCATTTGTTTTCTTCTACATTTGTATAATGTGAAACTAAAATTGGGAGCAATCCGAGCTATTAATTAGGAATAATCCCAAATAATTATCTTTGGTAGAAGTTAATGTTGTTAATAAAGATCAGTTTTGTATTTAAGATATAACCTTACTAAACGACATGTTAAAAGATTCTCTTTAGGAGAATTGTTAATACTGTATGTAAAAATGTATCACTACGCACTAAAAGTTAAGGATACCATCAGTTCCAAATGTATTTAATTGATACACAGGCTAGAAACTGATGCTTAAAAAATAAGATGAAACTGGATAAAAAGGATAAACAGTAATAGTAAGGTAGATATGACGCGATTCATATTTTTATTTCTGATATTTTATATTGTTGGTCCTTAAACCTTCTCAAGTTCATTTATGAGACATACATTTTTATATTTTATTTGTTCTTAACTGTGTTTTATATGTGTTATTATTATTGATTATTTAACACACACATTCTTATAAAGAATTTAAGTAAATCTGTATCATAATAAATGTACTTTAATGACTCGCACACTTGATGACAGTTAGGAATTAATACTGTTAAACTTGTCATTTCATATAGTACTTACACAATAGCAGACACCATTCATGAGTAAACTTGTGTTTAGTTTTTTTTATTTATTAATTTGGTCATATATAATATAATTTTAATTTTTAACTGAAATTGAGTTTATTTTAGTAAATGAATTCACTCCAACGTTCAGGTCTCATAAATATCTGTAAATTACGATAATTCAATTTCCAGTAAGTTGAACCAAAAATTACTTTTATCCACTTGCAATTCAAAAGCGTTTGAGGCTGTTGGTAAAAATCATAAAAATGCGATTATGTTTAAGTATGTATTTACAAAATCTTAATTTCTAGTCGTACAGTCTATACTACAACTCTACAAATAGCCGAAGCCACCGACGGGTAGTCCGTAGCCGTACTCGGGAACGATGATCTCCTCGGCGACCAGGACGGGAGGGTCGGAGTAGAAGAACTCCTCTGTGACACCAACACCTCCGTAACCAAGACCGTAGCCGTAATGAGGCTCAGCGGAGGGCATGGGGCCGTTCTGGGGTCCGATGGGGCTGGGCTGAGGCTGGGGCTGGGGCTGGGGCATGGGCTGAGGCTGAGGGCCAGGCTGGGGTCCGTTGAAAGGTCCAGCGGCGAAGCTAGGCTGGGGTCCCGGGTTAGGCCCACTGGCGGGAGCTTGGTGGTTCATGCCGGGGTTGGGTCCGCTGGCAGGAGCACCCCAAGAAGCACTCGGGCCGCTGGCGGGGAGAGAGAAGGTCGGGCCGTTGTTGGGGCCGTGTTGGTAAGTGGGTCCGTTGTTGGGCATCGGGTATGCTGAGGGTTGTGCCATGGAGTAAGCGTTAGGGATGGGGTGGGGCTGGGGCTGTGGCTGGGGTTGGGGCTGGGGGTAAGGCCCTGGCCTGGCCAACACGGCCGCACTCAGAACTAGGACACCTACAACACAACGTGGAAACAATAAATACTTAGTACTTAACTCATCATTAGAAACATGTTTAAACCTCTAATATTGTAAGTAAACAACGCTTGGTGATATGTTTTTAAATCTAAGGAACCATTGGGGGTTTGTTTTAATCCTTACTTTTGTTTTATACTGTTCGGTTGGATTTCATTAGTCAATAGAAAGCTGTAAAGTGATGCTTTAAATTAAAATCAATATGATTATACAGGAAGTCCTTCTGATCATACACCAAACATTAATGATGATGTATAAATTTATACAAGAATACCCACTCATATTTGCCGATAATGTATATGAAATGGCCTGATCTTGATGATTGAAATTATCATACTGAATTTGACTGGCTAAATAAGGTATTGTTGGTTTTTATTTTATTTTATATCATTTCAATATTCTGACACCATTATACAGCTATATCGGGTACTAGGCAATATGAAACTCAGATTAGGCTAGTAAGATACCATGATACAAATCATGATATACGAATGAAAGCATTTTATTTGCTTGAATGAAATATTAAGTTTGTGTAGAAAAGTAAGTTTATTTATGGCAACATTTAATATCTATGTAAGTAGGGCAGCAAGTATTACAATTTAACACTTAGTTACAAACAATTTTTTTAACTATAACTATCATAATCTAAATACAGTTTTAATCCACGTACCAAAGGAGAGAGCAATCATGATGAGAGGCTGTGTCTTCGACTACCGATCTCACAAGAGTGCTCGACACACAACGACTTTTATATTTCTCCCACTGTCGTCTTGTACAAACAAATCCTTTGTTTACTTTAGCTATCGTCTGTTTGCCGAAGACCTGTTTATCAATACTTAAATGACGTAACCTGTTTTCTGCGTACCTAGTGTCCGACCCTCACGACTGCTCTTACAAAAGTGAGTACTTTTTTTCATTCCCTAAGGTTTTGTATCTGCTGTTAAATAAAAATGACTGAAGCCTGGAGTGGGGGTATAGGTGTCACTACATTGTATAACTGCTGTATAAAACATCATCCACTTGCAATGTTGTTTACTACAGCAAAATAAACTAGCAATTCAAACGTGTAGTTTGCTTTTTCAATAATAATTAATTTTTAGAGTTTTAATTTTAATAATAATTTTTTTTTATTATTTATTGAAGCGTGAAAGGTTTGCTGGGCGTTTCTAGGTGCGTCTGTTTTACTCTTGTGACATATACTGACTATTTAAATTAGAATCAACACTCTGAGCTTCACTAAAACTACTAATAAAAGTCGTTTTGAATACTACCAAATTATTAATAAGACTCATAAGTATATTATTTTCAAAATATACAAACTATTGAAAATTATTGGTCTATTTATTCATACAAAACACACATTCAGTTAATAAACATCATTCCCTCTGTGAAATTAAACTGGTTAATTAACACTCAAGAATAGGTCTAAAATATTAATTTTATTTGTACAATTTGAACTACGAGCGCACGTACAAGAGAGCAAGGTTTATCCCAGAAGGGCGTGGATGCCTGGGTACTCGGGTCCAACAATCACTTCCTCGTAGACTCCCTCAATGAAGATGGGAGGTAGAACCTCCTCGACGATGCCACCGTAGGGGTAGATCTCGGGGCCGTAGCCGTAGTGGGCGTCTGCCTCAGGGTCGGGGTCAGCCACGGGGGCGGGTTCCGGGAGAGGTTCCGGGTCGGCCACGGGGTGAGGTGCTGGGAGTCCAGCCACCATGGAGACAAGGAGAAGTCCTTGAAATAATACAGTATGAAACTAAGCCTAACCTTGGATTAATATTTTGCAATTGATTGTATGTAAATTTAATTTTGCGCTCGTCTGTATTCTGTTTATTAAATTCCATTTTTTTCCTCACTTACGAAAAGATATATTGAATTTTTCTAACATTATTTTTTGTAAGAATATAATTGTTTGTAACCCTCAAAAAATCACCCTAAAATAACCCCTACAAATTATAATCTGTCAAAGTCTTTGAATAAATAAATTTAACGAACATATTTCGAAAAATCTCTGTTGATTTATGTGATAGAAATATAATTAAATTAAAATATTATTTTCCATTTTCATGCTAACTTAGTTGCATTTTTACAAATTTATTTGCATAATGCTGCTTAATTCTCTGTTATTGAACTCTTATACTAGTTTACTTCAAAGGGATAACGAGTTGACTAAGATTACCTTAACCAGTTTAAATTGTTATTCTACTTACCTACTGTGAATGCTATCATTTTCATCTCTTATCAGTGAACGATGGCGCAGAGGCTCACAGAAAGAATGACTATTTTCCTCTTATAGCTCTTGATATACGCCATTGTTATCAATAGTATCCAACTGACAAGACTGCATCGTTTTGTTTGAGTTTCGTAATATTTCAAGATTTTTATCAATACTAAGTGCAGCTCTGAATTAAATTGGTTTTTAATATGCAACAAAGGGTGGTGGTTTGCTTTGTAATATAAAATACCCCAAACACAGCAAACTTGTACACTCAGCGTATGTCCATTTGCCTGGTTTGACTTTCATTAAAATATTTCCTTAAGTTTGTCGCATTTAATCGCAAATTTTAAAAACATTAGACATAACAAGCTCATGGATTTGCTGCTACATGGAGGGAAAAAATGCGTGTTTTTAGTAAAATTTATATAGCTTTGTATTGAATAAAATGTTTAAATTTGATCAAAATCAACTCATGAACATCAACTACAACTATTTACTAATCCTCTAGATAAATGGCATGGAAATTTTAAAATGTTAATATATTTTTAGGAGAATCTTATCTGTAAAACTTTAGAGTTGAGTTGAGGTCCAACTCTTATTATGAAAACTTACGGTATTGGCTGGTTACCTAAATTGGAAATTCACTTATAATATTTATATTAGTATAGCCTAAAGCATTTATTTCACCAAGGAACTTATGGTTTTTAAATTATTTTACAATATAATATCCAGACTGCTAACAACGTGTATAGGCTATGCTTGACTTTCAAACAGAAACTTATTATGCTATAGTATTTAAAGTGTATTACTTTTGTATTTCATACACTAAAATATTTTACAAAAATATACACGGGAAAAATATGCGTTTTGGTTGCTGTCGTCTTTTATTGCTTAGAACTTCAAAAAATTTGCAATTTTAACATAACATTAATAGCATAACCGTATGTTTAAAACGTATCTGCCATTTTGTTTTTAGACAAGTTATCATAATCTAATATCTTACATAAAGCATACTAATGTAAAAAAGAATTAATAAATAAAGTAACTATAGTGTACTTTGTTGATTCACACTTAGAATCCGTTGTAGGGAAATCCAAAGAAAGGGTATCCACAGCCAAGTTCGTCGATGAGTGCGTATTTCTGGGGGTGTGGATAAGGTTGTGGCTGGGGCATGGGTCGAGGCCCAGGATGAGGTCCAGACCCAGCGGCCAGAGGGGCCAAATGGGACACAGGCAGGGCCCTGGCACGAGGGTCCGGCGCTGCCCAGGGCATTGCGGACGCCGCCGCGCATACAGTTAGGAGTCCTATAAAATATATTTTATATGATGTATAAACAGACATTTTTGTGATTTTAATAAGGATTTTAAGCATACAAATTTTTATGGCGTATAAATACAGTTGTTCCCACAATATTTAACAAATTTTATGAAAAATCTAAATGTTTAAAAAAAAAACAATAATAAAATAGTTCTAAAAATATTTTCGACATAAAAATCAATCATTTGCAAGGTTGCTAACACTTTGAACTTTTATTAACGTTGATTTGATTTCATGAATGTGACATAATCATAGGTTTATATCTGGTTCAAATTAGACTCTACCTTACATGTGTATTTGTTTAAATAACTCACTTAAATGTGAATTATTAAGAAAACTGGTAGGAAAGCATGCTTACCTTTAAATAAGTCTATAGATACACATTAAATATACAACACAAAAGTATACATTTTCGTGGTCATTGACTACTGGAGAAATGGCAATGGCAGTTGCAATTTTATTGCTGGAATTTCAACTAGCATTGTCATTGCTCCAGTGACCATGAACTGTTGTCCTCCTTGTTTTGTATATTTTATGTGTCTCTTTGTATTTATTTAAAGGTAAGCCTGCTTTCCTGTAAATTTCCTTAATAATTCCTGGCAAATGTCCTATCTTTTTATCAGATAACTTTAAAGGTGAAAACAGTATTCATGTTTTACTATATGGGAAAATAATAATTTATGTATATAATAATAATAATAATAATATATGATAATAAATAATAATAAAATATAAATAATAAATCCATTTTTTTATAAAACAAAAATAATTAATGGCTTTATAAACCCATAGTGTGGTAATAAAAACTCAATAAATGATTCCACTTACCCAGACAGAGGTGAAACATATCGGAAAACACAGTATCACGACGCTGGTTTACAACCTTATAAAAATAATTTATTGACTCTTCCGCAGATACTGAAGTTCCACGTTATCTTCTCTTTCGCCAGTTTGCTGCGCTTCTTTATAACAAGCAACTCCAACTAGGATATTTTTTTAAACATTTATGGCATTTTGTAAGCAAATGATTGAAGGTATAGTAAAATTAAACGTATTCAAGTCAGTAAAAAATAATATCCAATTTTATTTAAAAAAATTACACATTACTCATACAAAATAAAAGATTTTATTAGTCTTTTTAGTAACCGTAGAACGGAAATTCAAGGTAACTATCGTAACCATAACCTTGGCCTTGCCATTTAAAATCGTAACCACCATGTCCTGAGAAACATCCATGACATCCATTTCCGACCCTAGCTAATGCCCCATATCCGTATGAGGGATCTGGCGATGGTCTAGGCTGGGGCAATGGGCCTGGCATTGGGGTTGCATAGGGAGTGGGTTGTGCTCTTGGCGCGGGAAGTCCATAAGCAACTGCAGCTATTACCACCAAACCTGAAATTTAAGTGCCAGTAGTAAACTTTTGTTGTAGTAGTAATATAAATCTTGCAGGGAAACTTATCAACTTCTCATAGAGTTTGGTTTCCTAAATTCCGTAGTAGTTTATGTTTCGTTGATTTGATTAGACCCGAAAAATTAACATGTAGAGAGACAAAATTACATGAAGTGACATGACTACTCATGTCTTGTCTCAAGTTTATTTATTGACCTTATGATGGCTTTTTCGTGGATTTCTGCAACTATTATACTCCAGAACACTAAAAGACATTACTATGCATTGCCAACTCAAATCATGCTGAATAAATCTGCTTTTTCACGTTTTAACTGTAAGAAAATTAAATCACACACCTGTTTATTCTCCTTTGGTCTCAAAAATGGGCAATTTTAATGCATGACTTCCACGGGATAGAGGTATGAGCTGTTTAGCCAAATGAATTGTCCGTTTGCTTCAATATTTTATTTAGATACATTTTATCAAAAGTGTTGATACTTCCATAATAATTTCAGTAACCTGTTCAAAATGATATTTAACACCCCTTGATATTTTTTATTGTACAGTAATCAATTACCATTACCACTGCTATACTACTATATGTTGCTAGCTGATGTACCCGTGCTTTGCAACAGGGAGGAAAAAATATTATATTGCTGCACTGTATTGTTACAACTTTTAAATGTTAGTATTTAAGCATTATAGAACATAACGGATTTGTTTGGTTTATCAGCTGTTAAGATTCTTAAATTCTTTTTGAATAGGGAATACCCATAAGGTAAGCATGGAAAATTCCAGAGCCACGGGATGGAGCCTGAAATCATGTTCGAGATAAGACTAGGCATAGTTTAATGGAGAATATAAACTATTATCACACTAACTTCGAGCCCAGTCCAACCAGTTCTTAATGCGTGATTGAGTCCAAAAAACTAACTTTCAGCTTTTACACAAACTTTTAGTTTTCTAACATCATTAGTATAATTGTTTTTTTTTATTCTTTTATTAGTTACATTGTAAATAGTAAGCTGTATTCAAATGAATATAAACTTTTCTCGGTCACAAGTTTATATTTTATAATTGAATATACTGAATATTTCATTGTATATATTCATTTAACATTACATAATACTTGGATATGCGATATAAAGTTGTTTCTTGATACTGATATTTTGTTATTGCCACTTTTAACGAATTATATAAGGAATAGGCAATTACAAAAAAATGTTGCAGTTTCTTGGTTAACTATTTTGTAGAGCTTGAAGCGTTGTTGTATGCCTGATAATTACGGAGAATATTTTTACAAAAAACTCTAATCTGAAAATTCTTATGTTATTGATATGTGGAATAAATAAACTGAAAAACTTTGCTTTTTTGTGGCTATATTTAATCTAATTTGGTAAATGTGTTTATTTCATACTAATGCATCGACATTTTGATAAAAACGCTTATAACCTTCCCTGTAGCAACAAACCTAAGTACTAAGGTTAATGTTATTTAAAAACAGACAACATACGGGAATATCTTAGGAGAAATCCAGCTAGGTAAATGGAAATTCACTTAGGCTGCAGGATTGGTGTGGTGGGGGTATTTTGCAATCCTCATTATTTTAAATATAATTCTGATACTTTGCAGTTAATGAGAAGCATCATGCTTGCTTATAACTGTAAATGGAAATATATATTCGGATTTGTTTAAAGCATAAGCTAGTGATTAAGCTATATAGTTTTTAACTTACCAAAGACAACTAGATACTTCATGGTAGAAATGCAGTTCACAAATGAAGCCATTGCAATACTCACCTGATAATATACTGCACTTTCATTATATTTACTTATCAACAAGTGTTAGACGTTATCATTACGCACATGCTTGCGTAAATGATCATTTCTTCAATAATATTAAGTGTTTTTTTTTATTTTATGAATTATTGATTATCTGTGGCTAGTTACACAAATCATAATTTTCTAAACCTATATTAAGAGTTATGTTTTTCAATGTTAGTATTTTATTTTTTAGGCTGCCCTAAGATAATAGATAAAATATAGATAATTATTCTACAGTAAATGCTTTAAAAAGTAATAAAAGGTGTTAAATGCATAGTTCAATATAGTTTTAAAATCTTTTGTTACTAGCCAATTGTTATTAATTTAAAATGTTTTGCACTAAATAACCCATGGAAGGTTATTTCAAACCTATCCGTTTAACCATGCTCTCTTGATATTTTTCATTAAAACTCAATTAAAAAACCTTAAAGTGACACGATACGCAACACACTTATTAAACACTATCAAAGAGTGGCTTGTTTGTTTAAATGTTGGAACTTCTCTAAAATTAGATAAGAGTGATAACATCATATAAATTTAAATATTATCTATTTTACAGCATTTAGATTTTAAAAGTATTAAACAATTTCGTAATAAAGAGTTTTTGTGAGTTTTAACTGTAATGCGTAAAAGTAAAATATAGTAATAACTTTGTGGAAATTGTATTTATTTACGAATAAAACATTTACATAAACTCTAAAGGTTCGTTATATATTGGTAAGAGCCATTAAATCAATTTAAATCAAATCAGTTATTTCCACAAAGATTTATTTCTATTAAACTGCATTCATAGTTTTGTGGTTAATATTTAAATTTTTTCCAAAAACTAATTGTTCAAATCGTGGGAGTCATGAATGATTTCAAATTTTGTGATAGATTCACTTCATTACTGTATACCGTTCTGATACACGGCCATAAAGATTATATGTTCAACAAAGCTAGCCAAATAAAATATTTAGGATACGACATATATTAAACAGTTTAAAACTGAAAAGGTTGGCTAAAAATAACTTTTTTCAATCAATACAATTATGTATTACAAATATTATCAAATAGTTTTAAATTGTTATAATGTAATTTGCAGACATGATCATAGCCGAAATTTAAAACTTCAGCCTACTTTTGGGACGAGAAAACTAGTAAACTAATTCAACAGATAGGGGATATAATTATCCAATACAGAATGTAACCATGCGATTTTTAATTTTATTTCAGTATAAAAAACTAATACTAATGTATTAAATAGGTCGGTCAGTGGTTGTGTTTTTTAGTAGAAGTAGTGGCCTCTTCAGTTTACCACCCACCGTAGCCTCCTCCGTAGTAGCCACCACCGTATCCGTAACCACCGTATCCGTAAGGCTCGAAGAAGACCTCCTCGATGACGGGCTCAGCAATGGTGGCAATGGGGGCGACATAAGCGGTCTCTACTATGGGAGGGAATTCGCATCCGTAACCTCCATAACCATAACCTCCGTATCCGTAACCTTCGTAAAGTCCACCTAATCCGTATCCACCGTAGTAAGCGTCAGGGCCAGGAGCTGGGCCAGGCTGGGGCATTGGCATTGGCTGGGGTGCTGGGAGAGGTCCTGGGGCTGGCCCGGGCATGGCGTAGGGAGCGGGGCCAGGCTTGGGACCTGGAGCCGGACCTGGGCGGGGGAAAGCGGACACGGCGGAAACCGCGATCAGGAGTCCTGAAACATTTCCATTTATATTTAAAAGATTATACAACTTTAAAGTAAAAATAACAAGATTACAGAATGATCATAGCGGTGGTTGAATGCTGTTCTTGGGGTGACGACCACATGGATGCTATGCGGACCCCCATTTTCAGTGAAAGAGTGCATTGAGAATGGACTGCTACATCTCTGCGAAACGTCTGCAACCACGCGGTCTTCATCCGAAGACCAGAATTCAAAAACTTAAACTAATATAACGATGACCTGATCACAAAGAACCCTTATGGATTTTAATTTATAATGAATATTCCCCAATTACTAAAACTTAAAGCTATCATTTAATTTCGCAATTTGTGTCAAACATAACTACTTCATCCGTAAAATAATCTGAATGTATATATTGTTTCCTTTATTAATTGACTTTCAACCTTTTCGTTTTGATATGTAAATATATGCGAATAATTATTAGTGAGTAGGTGTAGTATAAAATATTTAATGTTGTAGAATATTTCCCTAAGTACATTTTAAGCACTTTTGAAGACGTTATTGGATTTTCACTTATTTATAGAGGTCATAAAATATTTTTGTAGCATAACCTATTAGCACGAAAAGTATCATTTACCATAGAGTGTTTACAAACTATTAATTTGATCTTTGGTTAGTGCTCAAATAAATTTTAGTCCATTCATAAGGTAAATAACAATTGAGAATTTCTTTCTAGATAAACTCAATAATCCTTTAAATCAATCCTATTGTGTTTTTACGTTAGCAATGTTTTAATTCACACTAAACCCATAAAACATTTAGTTTTATTAATAATGGTTATTAAGACTATAACCTATACTTGTACGACTGATATTATTTTAAAACGAGCCAACATTCATAAAGTTTTTAAATCTTATGATCACAAATTATCTTAATTCTAAAGCCTGTTCATGCTAGATATGCATTTAATACTCTAGTATTTACGTAGAAAATATATTTTTGAAGATGATATTCTTAATAATTTACAAACACATGGAGTTCTTGTATTAGCTATGAATTAGTGCAAATAAATGATTTGACAAAGATGTTATTTTTGCCTTGGTGTTTACACCTTATTTATTTTAACGGCCTTGATTTTAATATCTTTCTAACTATGATTTATTCAATAAACTGTTTAATTACTTACCAACTGCGTAAGAAAGCATGGTGTTAGAGGGAGACTCGCCGACTATGATAAGAGCGCTCTCTACTTCCTTTTATACTTTATGGCTCTCATTCATTTATTTATTGGGCTGTAAACTTTATCGAGTTGTATTTTGTTTACTTTTGCACGTAACACTTCCCCATAACCTTCAATAACTATGCCGTTCTACTTCAGGCATGTTAAAATGATGCTAGAATCGACTGGCGTATACGTTAAAAGAAGAACATGATAGAAAGTATGGACATTTGCATTAGTACATGCAATCAAGAAATATGTGTTAAAATATCATACACAGGAACATATAACATATATTTAGAGAGAATTTAACTTTAAGTGTCTGGAAAACAGAGAAAAAATTTGTCAATTAGTAAAACTACGTGGTACAATCTGCAAGTCTTAATTGTTTAAAAAAAACTGCTATCTAATAGCTTTTTATTGAAATTTCAATAAGATGAGGAATACTAGACTAAAGTTTTGAAATGTCATTCAGTGTTATCAATACTATATTAAACGCATTTTATCGTTACCTAATCAAAGCAATTCAAACAAAGTTACATCAGCAACTCAGCTTTCCTCAAATAATATAACATTACGAGTCACAAAACCTACGACTAAAACTTTGTTTTCTAAACATCAATTTTTATGCATTAAACTATCTCTATAGTGAATGATTCTCTGAAGTTAACCAACTGCATATATATGTGTAGTTTTCGAACATTTATCCACTTATTGTGTGGTGTCATCATAAATTTAAGCTAAATATTCAATTGTTTACTGGATGTTTTCTACTGTTGCCTACTTAAATTAGACGTAGAACACCATTAAGTTTTTATAAGGTCCCAGAGTACAGTGGGTAAGGTAGTTTATTCTTCTCCGTTTCTGCTTCCCTTTTAACAGCGCTTGATGTTTACCTTTTGATATCATTGTGTTCCTTTGCTGTATTGATAGAAAGTGAGAGTACTCGATTGTGTAATCAATAGTCTCAAAAGGAGTTGAAAAGTATTCGCTTATATAATCTTTTTTGAGAGCGAACCTGGAAAACAAAGTTGATATTTTGTTCAAAATCAATTAATGGTAACTTTAACAAACTCCGAAACTTATTGAAGTCTTGATATAGTTAACATTTTACATAGTTTATATTTCCTATTTTATAGCAATCTTAAAATGCTTAGGTACCAAAAATATATTATTATTATATTATTATTAAGGAAAAGCTAGTTTCTATGTTTATGTAAATAATGCACTAAGAAGATAAGACAAATCTATTTATGTTCAGGCAATGGGTTTGTTTTTATCCTTGCAAAAACAAAAAAAGAAATACAAATATTTTTTTATTATTTTTTTCATGAAGCTTTTTGTATTTATTTATTTTATTTTGTATTTGCTGCAATGCTGGCATCTGCAAATATAGCAGTTGCAATATACATTGTACACCATAGGACAAAATGCATTGTTTTGTTGTAGTGAATCCATTTCAGAGTAACAAAAAACAGAACCTTCAGTTTTTGTGATGTATCTAATAATGCATAGCTGGCGATAGGCCTAAGGAAATTAACATTACAAAAATATTGGTAGGATTTTATTTTTATCCAACCCAATATTTTCAGTTCCTCATGAAGATTACTATGGTATATATCACTTTGAGGCTGTTTGGTTTGTATTGATCCTATAACGGGATTATTGAATTCTTTATCGTTTGGCTTAAATATGAGGGTTGCCATTGTAGGTTAATTGAATATGAATTTCTCAAAGAAGTGTAGTTTTATTAGCAACGTAATCGTATTAAAACATGTAAAATAATATCCATTGTCTGCAATATGTTTAGTTATCTTGCAGAATCAAAAGAAAGGTTTTCTTATATTCTCTCTTATTTGTTGATAAGGCAGGACTCTTTACATTATTATTTTCTTAACTAAAGTTGCATAGGCAATGGTATTGTTAATGAGCATGTGCAGTGTGATGAATTTATTTGTACATTTACTTATTTGTGGTACTTACTGTTGATACATCAACTTGACTATCCTGTACCTCTATTGAATTACGAATATAAATTTAAGTAGAATATGTGGTTTCACTCTGACTCTTTATAGCTAGAGCATGTTTGACAGAAGGGTAAGATTGGATTGATACCATAAACCGTCCTAAAACACGAACCACGAATACACATAATTTCTTTTATTAGAGAACAGTTGTAACCAATAGTAAAACAATATAGTTACCACTAGTCATCAAATACATACTAAACAGACACATATGTAACAAAAAAATAAAGCTATTAAGTCATTAACGAACTGTTTTACTTCACCTTTTTAAAGTTAGGGATTTGATACGAACTTAATTTCAGTCATACCTGTAGTAGAAAAACACATCTTTAAAATTTAATGTTGTGTAAATTATTTCCTGGACAAAATGTTAGTACAATGTCATTTTATATTTCCTTCTTTATGGTTTTACCTGACCTAACTAGGACAAAATATAATTTACAGGTTGTTTTTCTATAGTAAAACGCAGCGGAAATTACAAGTACCGTTACACTTTTTACAGACAACACAACTTCATAGTTATCTGTGTGGTTTAGTGTTATTGGGAATTTATTGTGAATAAGCCTCAGTGTGGTATTTACAAAAGGTCAGAGTGTATGTATTGTAAAAGAGTTCATTAAAAATAAATATTGTTTTCATACCAAGGAAGGTTTGAAACTAAGTCCCAGTAAATACTAAATAATTAACTATTTATAGATTTTACAAATAGTTGGAGAGCCAAACCTGAAAAAAAACTTAGACCTACAATACATCTTCTATATATTAATAGGCAATCATGTTTCTTTAAAACCTTTTATCTCAGCTCGTGTGCATCGCAGGGAAAATCTACGCATATTGTTGGAAAGAGATTTAACCGTAGGTGTGCAGAATCCCTTTATAAATTAAAACTCGCCTTTGGCTCGCTGGGGGCTCCGCCCAGGCCCCCTAGCTGTTAGTAGTCATTTAGGAAGGGGTGAGAGGCCATCACCAAGAAGCCGGGGAAATTTCAAGCCCGAAGCACACCTAGAAGTGGTCTAGAAAGCACTCTCCGCATTTCAAAATTCTTTTGTGGGGTTGTAGAAATTTAGGAAGGAATTAGACGCCATTACCAAGAAGCCGGGGAAATTTCAAGCCCGAAGCACACCTAGAAGTGGTCTAGAAAGCACTCTCCGCATTTCTAAATTCTTTTGTGGGGTTGTAATAGCGAAAATCGATATTGAAGTAATAACCATTTCACGAATATATTCGAGTAGATTGATAAGTTGAGAATTTTTTGCTTGGGGGTAAATGAGCCATGGGTGATACGGCGCAAGAGCTACAATCGTGCCAAATTTCAGATGTCCAGTTAATCTAGAAATGGGTAAACGTGATATAGACTTATGCACCTGTAATAATAACATTGGGGGGGGGAAGGTTTAATATTTCGGGGGGGAAGGTTTAATATTTTGGGGGGGGGTTGTAGTCTATTTGTAAAATTTAACTTTTCTTAATGGGCACAATACCTAAAATCGTGCCAAATTTTAGTTTTCACCTAATCTAGAAAACCCTTTTCCAAATTATTCATTGGTTTCAAAACAAATACTAGGAACTGTGAAAGATTTGAAGTCCATTGTCCCGACGAAAGACAGTGGTTCAAGAACTGTGAGGGTGGGGAGGTTATTATTTGTTGAGGGGAGTGGGGTACGTATTAAAAAATTCTTAATTCCTTTGATATAGGAGTTTATTAAATAGGAGGGTTTGAGTTATAGAAGTTTAAAAACACTTGTTATGTCGTTTTCAGAAGTCCGCCATTTTTTTAAGGGGGGGGGGGGTTCATAATACAGAATGGGACGTTTGGAAATTTTCTTGTTAATTTCATGTAACATTGTACTTTATTAATAACAGTTATAATACAGTAAATTTTGTATAGTTTTAATAATCTTATACATATGGAATAGGTAAAGAGTCTATTATTACCTCGTAAAAGTGGTGAAAACTTTTAAATTTCGACATTTAACTTAAGTTTTGGGGTTCAATGAGTCAAGTTATGAAAGAAACATGTATGAGTAAAACCGAAAGTAAACGAAGAAAAATTCAAAGCATTAATAATGTTAGCAAAAATTATTTACTTAGGTTGGGAAAGTAGTGAAAACCATTATTAATTTGAAAAAAATTACCAATTTTTGAAAGTAGAACGTTTTTTTAGGGGTGAAGTGGTGACATTTTCGGAAAATACCTGTAAGGGTTTTGTAGAAAATTTAATTCCTGACCATGAAAGTTCATTCAAATCTTGGCTAGCTCATATTGCTTTTTAGTTATAGTCATTTAAAAAAAGCGTGTTTAGTCGTTTTCAGAGGTCCGCCATTTTGGTTTTTTTGAGGAACTTTTGCAAATTTTACCCTTAATTTAGGATCCCACACTACAATACTCCCAAATTACAAGTCTAAAGCATGTTTATAAACGATGCGGATGACCATAACAAAGTCATTGAATTTCAATGTTATTCTCCATAAGAATAACATGGGGCTCATAAAAACTTTCAATTTTCGACATTAAAATTAAGTTTTTGGGGTCAATGAGTAAAGTTACGGAAAATAATAATATTTGCAAAAAGGAATGATTAAGATATAAAGAAATAGCGAAAACCGGTAAAAAGTTTAAAGAAATTTACCAAATTTTGAAAGTAGGGCGTTTTTTGAACCCGAAGGAGTGCGATTTTCGGAAAACACCATAGAGGGTTTTGTAGAAAATCTAATTCCTGTTCATGAATATCCTTTCAAATCGTTTCTAGCTCTTACTGTTTTCGAGCTATATCCGTTTGAAAAAAAACGTGTTTTATCGTTTTCAGAGGTCCGCCATTTTGGATTTTTGGCGGGGTTAAAATTTGAAAATGGGACTTTTGCAAATTTCACCGTTAATGTAAGATCCCCTACTACAATAATACCAAGTTTCAAGTCTCTACCACGTTTCTAAACGGTTCAGATGAGCACACCAAAGTCGACCACTTTCAATGTTATTCTCCATAAGAATAAGATGGGGCTTGTAAAAGTGGTAAAAAACCTTAAATTTTCACATTAAACCTAAGTTTTGGGGGTTAAGGAGTAAAGATACAATAAAACATTAAATGAGTAGAATTTAAAGTAAATTAAGGAGAATACAGAGCACTAATAATATCTGCAAAAAAGAATTATTTAAATATGAAAAAATAGCGAAAACCGGTAAAAATTTGAAAGAAATTTACTAAATTTTGAAAGTAGGGCGTTTTTTGGAGCTGAAGGAGTGCGATTTTCGGAAAACGCCAAAAGAGTTTTGTAGAAAATTTAATTTACTTTCGCTAAAATCCTTTCAAATCTTTTCTAGCTCTTACCGTTTTCGAGCTACATCCGGTTGAAAAAAAACGTGTTTTTTCGTTTTCAGAGGTCCACCATTTTGGATTTTTGGGTGGGTTAAAATTTTAAAATGGGACTTTTGCTTATTCCACCGGTAATGTAAGATCTTTTACTACAATACTACGCAAAATTGAAGTCTCTAGCACGTTTCTAAGTTGTTCAGATGAGCATACCAAAGTCGGCATTTTTCAATGTTATTTCCTATAAGAATAACATTGGGGGGGGGGGGAATTCTTAAATGAGGGGGGGGTTAAAATAAAAAAATGCAACTTTTGAGAATTTTCCCGGGGTTTTGGTACCAAGACTGACAATCGTGCCAAATTTCAACTCCCTAGCACTTCTAGAAGTGGTCTAGAATTTGTATCCCCCAGTGAGTCAGTTACACAAGCGGAATTTAGATAGATAGATAGGCCCAAAAATAAACACTAAAATTAATTTTAATTTTAAACATTTAACATGAGTCCTATGGGTTGCCAAGCTGGTTATTAAATAACAACGGAATATAAATAGAAAATCTAAACAAATGAAGGAATTCCAATCACATGGTTTATTTACAGTGTAGGGTAAAAATAGAGAAGTTTGTACATTACATATTTTTGGTCGAGTTTTCGCCCACTGGTTAACCACTATTAAAGCCTTCGAAAACACCATGTCAAATCTTATTAAATAAGATTATACATTTTTTATACAATAACACTAAGCCTCATAGATAACTATGCAGCAATGGAATTGATCAACAATGAGGTAGAAAAAAAAACAGGGATAGCAACATATGAGCATGTTTTCGCTAAGCAGTGGCTTGCAGTATTTGTAATTTGGGTGCGTTAAAAAAAAAACGCCTTGTATTTTTGTACGGATTCCGTTGCACAAATGAACCTTGCATTTTCTACTGAAGTGTTTTACATTAGCTATGTACAGCATGAGTTGATGGTTACAATAACCAGTGTACCTACCGTACGTATATATCGCGAGCAAACATTCTCTCGGTCTGATAGTAGTGTTTACTAGTGGTTTATTACGGTAGAACTTCCATCATGAAGACCTCCGTGTTATTGTTAATTGGTGAGTTGTTACTGTGATTTGGATTACTGCTGGTTTGGGTGGTATAATGGTCAGAGCAAGTGGTATACTAATATGGTATGAGTGAGCAAGTGGTACCCAGTATGACAATGAAAATTATAACGGGACAGTAAGTAACAAAATCTTAGATGGAGGTAGTTTTGATGTGAATACAACTATTAAAGATGCGATTGACGCCTTTAACTTCTTGAATTGGATAATTTTGTTTAAAATGATTTGCTAGGTATAGTAGCAACTAATGATTGAATTGACTAGTACACTATTGTTTATCTTTTTGTTTACTTCATTCTTCGTTACATTAAAAATCCCTCTTTTATAAAATCTTTACTGGACAGTGTTATTTTAAATTAGTCTGACTATAAATTTCACATAAGCTGAAGTTCAGCATCAAGCTGAACATGTTATTTGGAAGCGTATTGTAGTTTGTTTTTGTATTTAACTGTCTTTATTCAATAATTTTTTCCCCACAGACTTACAAGAAAACTAGTTGAGAGTTTTAAAGGGATAATTTTACTATAATAGATCTTACTTTTATTAGAAATTTAAGAAGTAAAATATAAATAATGTTTGTAAGCAGTTCAAAGTAAATATTAAAGCATTTACCGATACATAAAGTAATGTTTAATGCATATTGTTCATATCCTAGTAAACTTAACGGGGTTTTGTCATATTTTTAGTATCATTTAAATATTTGCAAAACTTTTGAGCGATAAAATATTTAAATATTGACAACAAAATGCCTTAAAATAGTACAATATACAACTTAGTTATTAGATATAAAGTAACATTAAACATCGTTGCTGTATGTTAACTTGGTTATTATGTTAATCAATTAGTTGTCAAAATAAAGCTGCATTTGCTCAGGATAAGATTTAGTTACCATTTTACTTGATCCTAAAAAGAAATGATATCCAACAGCATAACTTTACCAATAAAAAATTTAAGCCAGGTTGGTTTCCACTATAGTTAAAATAAAAATACATTAAATGAACGTAATTTTACGTTATAATTTGAATACATTAACTAAAGTTTATACTTCAATTTGGACAAACAATAATGTATTACACTAATGTCCTATATCAATAAAATATATTTCCTCGTTTATCTTTGGATGAATATAGGATATTTCAAAGAACAAAACACAAGTTCGTTAGAAACAACTGTTTCTGCAATATTTCTCTGAGTTGTTATAGCGAGTCCAATACGTGCTCTGTTCTTATTGCTTGTATTGTACTTTTATGAAAAGTCTAAATAAATGGCCATTATTGGAATTGGTGCTATTTTTTGGGGAAACAAAAACCATTTAACCAAATAATATAGGTCACATGCTAAACAATTATTTTTTCAGTAGTGGCGTGAAACACCATGAAAACTGTAAAGTGGTATTTTTCCGTGATGGATTCTAAAAAGACCTTACTCCAACATTGTATCTAATTAACTTAGTTTTTAAAAGTAAAAAGCTCGTAGAACAAAGTATACAATATTCTAATAACAGTAAATTTACTAGTTTTATTTCCTAATAAGTAAGTATAGACAGCAGATGTGGTCAAACATTTCTCAGTGAATAAATAGTCTTAAAAGTGTTTTCTCATTTTTCCAAGAGTTATTTTATTGGTCCATTAGCTTTGAGCATTAGCTATCAAACTTGAATATTGTATATAAGTTTGCTTTAAAATTATTCAACCATTTTCCATAGGGCTTATACCAAATTCGTCAAATCGATCAGTCCAGACTTGGCTTAACCGGTTTCTTGAGGGTTATGTGTTTATACTGTAAAATCGAGTAACAGTGTGTATGTAGAGCGTGTTTCATTAACTATGAAATACATATGTTTTGATGCTGAAAATTACTTCATGATGATAAATGATAATATTTATTTAATATTGTATCTCTTAATAATGAATAAATTAAAAACAAAATCGATTCTATGTATAACTAATGTATTGATAAATTGGATCAATATATATATATATATGTATATATTTTTTTTTTATTATTGATTATGATATTTTTCCAGTTGCCTTCTCCGCACGTTACACTGTCAAAGTAGCTGAAGCTCACTGTGGTCTGGGAGGATGTAAGGTAAGTTGCTTATCTGTTGATATTTTTTCAATGATTTCGTTTAAGAAACATATTTTATTAAAAAAACAACAGTTAATAGTTTAATGTACTTTTTATAAAACATACATTTTAAGTTTTATTTTTTCGCCAGAATAATATCACTTCAACCAACATTTTTTTAAGGGTCTAGTATTAAGATGATGAGTTTTCTTCCGTTAGTTTTATTACGAATTATAAAGTTGTTAAATGTATTATGATCTTAACACCATGTTTCAGTGCAGCGCTGAGCCCGAGGGCACATGTTGTCCTGGTTACACATGCGGTCGAGAGAGCAGATGTGTGGAAATCGGTGAGTTTATTTATAAATTAACTTTAATACTCATCAACTAAACTTTTAAAGAGGTTTAAAACTTGATAAATACCTCAAACAATAGAAATTTTTTTACTATTTAAAATATAAATTTACTTGCTATAACGTTTAATGTAACTAAATGTTTAATTTATCTTAAAAAGCACCAATCAAAATATTTTCGGTATGCAAATGATAAACGAGAATACTATGTTCACGTTGGTAATTTTTGAACGATTAAGAAAATCATCTAACAGATATTTTGTGATTTAAAATTCATCTTAAAACAAATAAAACATAAATAAATACATCTTGTCACTTTTATCCTCATTCATCTGTGGAATACAATACATGTTTTTATTAACTTCTTTTGGTCTAGTCCTAACAGATGTACAAATTTATAATTAATAGGCCTGCCCCTGCTGTAGTTTCGTATGTTGACCTTTCTGAAATCCAACCGTATATTAAGACGATATTACGTCAAAATTAGTAATTAATTTATTTTTTACCGAGGTTTTCGATAGATTAAATCCTCCACTACTGTTTAATTATTTCTCCATCGTGAGCAACAAGTTGTTTGAAGAAGTTTTTAGAGTTAACTATTTGTAAATGTATCAAATAATTTTATAGTTTTTTTTTCTCAAACAGCTAAGCAAGCTTCCTATCTTTTGTTAAAAATGTATAAAGTTCTATTAAATGAAACTAGGTACAAGCATCGAACGGCTTAAATTTAGACTTTTTCGAGGGTTAAGCACATTAGAAAGATTATTTTACCTACAAGAAGAAAGTAAAGATATATGTATTTCTTCTTATGAAGTTAGACGGTTAGATGGTTTAACTTTAAGACTTTACTTTGTAATCATGACCATACAAGTGTAGGCATATTTGAAAAACCAAAGAACATTTTATTAGTGCCAAAATAATCTGACAACATACTTAAAGTACTTAACCATAATTTTAACGGCTTTTCTTAAATCAAGATACATCATTTGAATATCTGGTCCGACTAATAAATGTGACGATTAGATCTTGACACTTCAGTAGGTGGCTCACTATTTTGGGCTTGGGTTCTCTGCAACATTTGGATAGGAGAAGGTAGGATCTTTAAACAGTGCTCAGTATATTTCTATATACGTGTTATACCTCTAGTTAGTGGATGCATGGTTTGTAGAACAAACATTTACTAAAATAAGCTTTTCGGTAAGGTGCATTTTGGTAATAAATATATTATGGCTTTATCCTAATAAAAAAACTCATGTAAAACAATGTACGTACTTAGATATTTACTTCCATAACTGTACTTCAATGGATCTGAAGAGGGGTAGTTTCAATTAGTGTATAATGGGAGGGCAGGTTGATCTAGTGGCAGAGCATGGGACTTCAGTCCGCCAGGTCCCGGGCACAATCCCCACCAATCACCAATAGAATTTATCCAAGTGATAATACCACTACCATCTCCTAGCGTTAAAACTGTTATGGGCTGGAACTTAGCATCGTACGATGGAAAAGTGGGGTTTAAAAATATTGTCTAACCTATGTTTTGTTCCAGTTCCCATCAGAGATGAGTTTGTGTACCCGTACCCCTACGACTTCAACAACTACGGCTACACGGAGTCTGGAGTTCCTGGCTATGAGGCTCGTTATGACCCCATCTCTGGCTACGTCGGTGGCTCCACAGCCTTTGGCAACAACTTCGTCGGTACCGAGTACGGTGTTGGAAGAGTACCCTACTCTCCGTTCTTCTTTGCTGGCTTCTAAATAACTATTCGATGACTTTATTTATTAAATAAACATTTGCCTCTTTTTTATTTTCTATGGTATTGGTTTTTCCCCAATATTTATTATTTTTCTGTTCATGATCTATAGTGATAAAATTATGTATGGTAAGTAAAATGAGGTAGTGCACGCATGTGCTATTACCTGATTAAAAGTACGTCAATACATGTAAAGGATCAAGGAATAGTTTATTTTTTTACAAACAGTTGATTTAAATATTCTCCTCTTCTACGCTAACAATCTACTCCTTAACCATAAGCATACAAGTGATTAATTCTGTTACAACTTTTGCTAGTTTGATTACTTAAATTATATTATTCAAATATACACTTCGATTACTCTTCAAATACATGTGATTGTTTAAGCGATTCGTTTGACAATTGAAATAAATATGAATTTATGAAGCTCAGACATTACACATGATGGCGCTATGTTTATTAATTTTACTAATAAACATTAGGTACAGATTACAAAACAAACTATGAAATTCCCCTTCAAGAACCAATAGAATCAAATAGAAGTTATAATTTATTATTATACAGTCTTGGTCTTCGGGGTTCGACCGCGTCCTTAGGTTATGTACACTATGTACAGAACCCCGAAGACCAAGACTGTATACAGTATATATAAGTGCCGACCGTGGAAGCCTATCCATGAAGATTTTTTATGTAACTACACTATGTTTAAAAACTAGTTATAATGCAGGCAACACTATTTATCTTATTTTCTTCTGTAATATACGAAGCCATAAAATATTTTGTAATTAGGCTTGATCATCACGAATAACTTTTTATATATACAAAATTCCAGGCTATTTACTTTTTACAAGTATTTATTTACAATCTATTCTTTTGATCATTTTTTTGGATTAGTGGAAATTTACTCAACTAACCTTGCACTACCAAATTATCTTAATCATACTTTACTTTATACTGTTAATACCTTTATTCTGAAATAGTACTGACATGTAAACATGATCTTAATTAGAGTACTGCCATACTGCTTATGAAATATTGCCAATGCAATTAATAAGCAAAATATATTGACGGCATTGTATTTATTTATTTATTTATTATCAACGGTTCCACCATTTTTACAATGTTAGTTAATAATAACAATCAAGACAGCTAGATTTCAAATAAATTAAATAATGAACAATATATACAATCAATTAATAACAAAATTACAACTACAATCTATTTACAATTACTATATATGCTCAATATTTAGACAAATTTTTAAGAAAATAAATTGTAAACTGTACATTATAATTAAGCTGTTATCTTGTATAGGGAAAAAATCGCAAACTTATATAAAAACTTCTTTTGCATGTGCAATAATTAATTTCAACCTAAATCACACCCAACGGTAGGCCTAAAACTACTCAGTCTCCTATTCCCCCATCAGAAGACATTTTCAGGTCCAATTCAAGTTTCACATTTCTTGTTAATTTTTAATATATCATTAAAACTTCCCTAACCAACATGCTAAAACTCTCCTAATATTCAACAAAAAACTAAAAATAATTTATCCCTTCAATTAGATGTTATTTATACAAGATTTTAATCAACTAATGCGGTAAAAAGTTTGTTTTTGTGAGATACAAATTTCTAAAATAACATATTTAAAGTTTGTTTTGAGAAAGCTGACAAAGTAATATTGAAGCCACAGCAGTCCCACAGGCCGGACCTCCTCGGGGAATACAATAAGAAAGTCTTATGAAGGCCCCAACACGGTATATATTTCGGAATCCTCTTTCACTGGAAGACAAAGAAATGTGTTTTATCTTGGATGTATTACTTTGCCAGGATCACAAACTTATCCTCAAACCTAAAATATTTACATTTACTATTTTCAAGCTACACAATTCGTGTAATAACTTTTTACATTTATTTGGGAATACAGTTTTATTGCATTAACAATTAAAAAATTCAATTTATTTTCCAAATCAACAGCAAATCTGATAGTTTAAGCTACCTTCTTTCAACGTACTTAAAAAATAATATAAATACAAATTAATTATATTATTTTATATTATATTATTACTATTATTATATAATTATTATTATTATATTATTAAAATTAATTATAATATCATTATACATCGCAATATTGTTCAATTCGGTTCAATAAGAACATTCCCAATCCTTCATTCTAACTCAATTTTATTTGAAAGTACAAAAACACTTCAAATAACACTTGTAATAATGTATTTACACTTATAATGTTGACGCACAAGTTTCTAAATCCATAAAAGATGGTAAGTGGTGATCGATTGGACAATCCAATCATCACCAGACCCAATAGGCGAATTTGGTGTATTGTATTTCTCTGCTTCGAACTATAAACCACAAAAGTCCCCAAATAGAAATCGTTTAATCGGGAATGAAACCAAAAGCTGATTAAATTACAGAGAATACAATAGAACCTACGTCACTGCGGAAGACTCCAAATTAAAAGTCTTTCCAAGCAACTTATTGTGAATTCCTTACCAGAAGATAAGTGGGGTTTTAGACACAACTGAAAGGTAGGGGTTTTCAACAATTGATTAAAAGGTTTAAAAAATCTAAGTTAAGTTACGACTTACCTACGACTAACTTATTTGACTAATTTTACATTTTATTAATGTATGCTATTATTTTTATGGATGTGATTGGAAATTTTGTGACTTATTCTATTTTTAACGTGATATGCTTTGACCACCAAATAACGTGCTCATAAATCTGTTTGAAGATATTGTATGTGATATAAGTATGTCACCAAAACCCTTTCATCATTAATCAATTATTGTATGTTTAATTAATTAATCAGTTGTATGTTTAATTAATTAATCCGATGTATGTTTTACAAATATCATAAGAGATATATAATAACTTAATAGTTGACCTTGAACAGTTTTAAATGTAATTCTAGTAAGTAATTTTTGCCTCTAAGTATTGTAGTGAATTTATGAATTTGTACACATTGTCTTAATTAATTATACTCGTCTTTGTTCAAATCAAATGCTAAACAACATTTTTGCAAAATATCAAAGCTGTATCTCAAACCGTTTAGGAGTTATTAATGTTTATGTAAAAAACACATAAATGCCGACGGTAAACAAGACACCACAGACCCATGTTCCTATGGTGAAATGTGTTTGTCTTGTCCTAAGGAATAATTGCACAAATATAGGTCAAACGAGTTTTTTTTTCTTTTTTCTTGTGAAAACCAGTTGGGTTTGACATTAAGTTGTGCTTGTTACACAGGAGAACTCTGTGATAACAAAGGTTGACAATATTGTAAACATGAGATAGCGAATGTTTTATTGAGAAGGTTGGTTGGGATAGAAACATGAGGTTCACGTTAGCTCTTACTGGTAAGTGAATTACCGACATTTCAACGATACATAGATTATCTGGAACATATGTCTGTTTTCTTAATTTATAATGGATTTTGAAAGTTTTAGGTGTTTTCTACGTTTGTTTCAGATTTATATAAAGCGATATATATCCGAGCATATCTTGTGTTACACAAATATGCTTTGATCAAATATTTTATTTTGTAAGTTAAAAAAAATGACTTTGATTAAGAAGCTGAAATATTAATATTTTCGTAAGCTATATAACCTAATACACATTTTATAAAACTATAAAGTGTAATGTTTAATATCCTATCTACAATAAATGAGTGCTTTCAAATAAAACTAACCTTCTTTTTGGCTGCATACTCTACTTCCACTTTGCTTGGCTATGGTATTTAAAAAATGCCCCCCTAAATTCCGTATTTAAATAACATTAGTTTAACAAGAGTGCCTAAATTTCTTATGCAATTTAATTTGACTTTGATGTAAGAGGTAAGGTATACGAGATCTTAAATACATTAATTATCATAGTTTAAACTTCCACATATTTACTAGTATTTCGTTCCCGAAGAGTTATTAAATTGTATAAATGAAAAGCAAACATTTAGTCTACTAAATTATTCCTTTTTTAACACACGTAATATATAACTAAATATAATAATTTGTATTAATGGTCTACATATCTCAAAACCAAAGTCACTTTCTACCGTTAATAACGTACCTCAAACTTGGTATCTTGTCAAATTGAAATAGGCTACTTAGTTGAATTACTTATATTTGTAAAACACTAGGTTAGCTTGAACTTAAACCTTCATTACTAGACTACATTTAAGATATATTTTGAGTATTTCCAATAAATTACTATATGAAGATCAACATTTGTTATGTTTGTTAAGATCTCTAGATCTTAACCTTGATCTATCAAGGTTTACTTTACCATGAATATAAAGGTTCAAATATATTTATATGATCAAACAACACAATTTAAATAGTTTTGTTAGTAGTTATTATTGTGTGATGTCATTATGGTTCATAAATATTTTTATGTTGCGAGGATCAGTTGTCTTTTAGAATTCTTAATTCAAACAAAAGAAAAATATTATAAATTAGAATTGTAAAACTCTAACAGCACAAATAAAAAAATACATGTCATATAAGAAAGGTATGAATTAGATTTATTAATATAGCTATTACAAATTAGCACATATACTTAATATAATAGAATTTTGGTCGTACGGGCGGGTTGACAGAAGAGCCGAGTAGTTTTCCTACTTTTGGTCTTGGAATTTACATTTCAATCACGACGTTAAACATAATGAAACTAGATTTCTAGACAAAAACAGAGTTTTGTGCATTTTCTCACATATTGTAAAGATAATTCTACTCAAGTGACTCCTTTTGAATTGCCTCAACAAGTTATACAAGTGACCTAAAATAAAAGTTACGGAAGGTATACGGCTTGAACATTTCAAAGTATGTTACATTTCAACTTTATTTTCGTGGGTAGAAATGCAGCCTCTAGCTTCCCCTGTCTATTTTCTTTTAATTTAATTTTGGGGTGACCTCATACAAGGAGGGTTTGGTCATATAAAATGGTTTTCTACGGAGTGTATTTCTTCCCAGGCAACATCACCTAAGTCAGGATCATTCATTTCATATTTGCTTTTAATCTTTACAATTTAATTGCTAAGACAAAACATATTTCAAATGTATACAAATTCAAGAATTTCAGACTAAAATAAACGAAAGAAGTAACCGTTGATAGGTTGATTGACCTCATTTCTTCTGTTTCATTAGCAACGTACAATTTATTAAGCAAAGACTAAATCTATGGAGCCCTATTGCCAATTGCAATCCCTACTGTTGAGGAGGACACAGACTTTTGTTTTTATGTTGGTGAAAATAGGAATATCGTGTTTTATAAATATATGTTAAAAGCCAAAACACTACATAATATCATTGACTATTGGATACAGAATTTAATACAGTTGTTGTATCAATAGTCAAAGATAACATAAAAAATTTAAAAATACTTAGTAGGTTATACTATAAATGATATATTTAAATTTAAATAAATTGTTAATAATTTCATTTTTAACCTTGATAATCTTGGTATCAAACGTTCAGAAAGTTTTAAATTTACAAATTATACAAAAGTTTGAAAATTAATTAAAAGACAACCCTTTTTATGTTGGACTCCCTTTAACACATTTCTGTTTCATTATAACAACGTACATTAAATTTTTTTAAAGCGTACATCTATGGAGCCCTGTTGTGGATTTTTATCCCTACGATAAAAGGTTTTGTACCTAAATATCATTGTTTATTGTACACTTCAACAAGAGATTCACATAGGAAACTTCAAATATATCTTCGGAGTAAGCTTTATTTTCAATCATCCACAATTATCTTCAAAACGTATAAATATAATTTTCTGTTCTAGTCGCCCTAGCCGCCTACCTCTCCGCAGTATGCGAGGCCCAGGTTCTGTACGACTACACCCACCCTGGATACCTGTTCGCGGGCGCCTTGCCGTTCACAGACTACTACGGTAACGTCGGTGGAGGTCCCGCCGCAGCTTACGGTGGCTACGGAGTGGGCCAGGGCTTCCCTTACTACCCTCTGGGCTACGGAGGATACGGTGAAGGCCGCAGCTACGGCTTCGAGACGAGGGTCCCTGGAGGAGTCTTTGGCCACGACGGCTGCGGCTGTGACGGCTACGGGAAGTACGGATGCAATTGCTGATCTGCTAAAAACTACAATTGCTGATCTGCTAAAAACTACAATTGTTGATCTGTTAAAAACTACAATTGTTGATCCTCTTCTAAAAACTGCAATTGGCGATCTGCTAAAAACTGCAATTGTTGATCCACTAAAAACTCAATTGTTGTTCCCTAATCACTCTCTAATTCCACCAGAACAACCCTCCTATTACAAAACAGGAAAACATGTAAGGAACAACCATGATATTTTATATGTGTTACGCATGTGACTTTGTTACTTTGTATAAAACTTTAAACCTCATTTTGTATTTCATTACCTTTTTATAGACGCTTTTTATCAAGTCTTTTATGCATGTAGTAGATTCGCTGCAAGTTACTTAAATCAGAATGTAGCTGTTGGAAAATGATTAAATATTTATTTTTTGTAATGGTTACCACTCTGCCTTGCTAATATTTGTTGTCTTTTCTACCCTTGTTTGTAAGCAAGGGAAATAAGTAGGGTTATGACTGGTTTTCGTTAGCTACGGTAGGCCTACTAGTTAAACGTCCTATGTTGGGTAACGGGTGTGTTTTTACTTTCTTTGATACTATTGATTATTGGATCAGGATTTAATAGGCTGTATAGCCTTTCTAATTTTCTTTTGAATAAAAGTTTACTCTATAGTAAACCTTTATTCAAAAGTAACACGTTGAAGGGAAGATGTAAATACAGGGTGATTAATATAAGTGTGCCGGCCGTTTTATTCGAAAACCATAAGAGATATAAAAAAAATAAATGGTAAAAGCCTTGGATTTTTATTTTAAAAATTTTAATCGAGTAGAAAAAATATTTAAGCCACCTTTTTTCAAATATGGCCGCCAACTTTGATTTTAATTAATAGAACACCCTGTATTTTATTATGTATAATGGTAGAAAATGTAATTTTAAGACGATTTTATTCGTGTAGTTTTTTTCATAAACCTAACAGTTTCAATAAAAATGGTTTAAGTTGTGAGATTTTGAATACTTTTCCAATAAAACAGCTGGCATGCTTGCTTTTAGGCCTTTATCGAAACTCTTTCTCATGCCGAAATTTCAAAACTTTAACCATTATTATCTTTGAAACGGTTAGGTTTATAAAAAAATCACAAGAATAAAATCGTCTTTAAATTACATTTTCTACCGGAATACATCATAAAATACCTTAAGAAAAATCAAAGTTGGCGGCCATATTGTAAAAATAGCGGCTAAAATAATTTTCTCGACTCGACTACAATCTTTAAAATAAAAAATCCAAGGCACTTACCGTTTAACTTTTTTTGATTTTTCTTATGGTTTTCGAATAAAACGGCTGGCACACTTATATCAATCACCCTGTATCTGGATAGTGTTAAAAGTAATATCTAAGCTCCTTAAAATAGGAAACACATACTTTGATATCTTATTAGAATTTAATGATTGAATAATGGTTTCCTCCACAACTTGTATAATCTTTTAAAGATGTTTAGTAAAGTTTTCTTTTTACAAAGAATATGTGTATATTTTGGTGAGTTGATATTTTTCAAACAAAGCTTTTTCCTGGATTAGTATGTATGCATATACTATGCTAAGACTTAATAGGTGGTTATCAAGCTCCAGTTAAATCCAATTAAACCTTTGGACAAACTTAAATCAAAACTGCCATTCTGCAAGGGACATCGCTAGGTATGGTTATTTTAAGTTCTTAATTAACTTCGTATCAAAATAAGGTGCTTGTTACTGTCCTCATGACACATACACTTCGTAAAACTATTTCTCGTGTAACTTGTTGTTGCGAGTACCCTACTCTATAGATGATCCTTTAAACTTGTCAAATTAGACACTGTCAACAAATAGTTAAAGAATGACTAAATGCAAATGATTTACACAGATAACCGTGTATTTATCAAATGAGCTTAGCTTTAAATAAATAAATAAATACTTTATTGTCTTGACAATATAAATTGTATCGACAGTACAATTAGGTATGCTATTAAATCAAACTCTTTAAATTTTGATGCATTTTTTATTGAAGTCTTCAATAGAGTAGATTGGATTTTCAGTAAGGATTTATTTTAATTTTCTTTTGTATTCTTTTAATTAAAAATTTTGAATATCAGTTGGTAGTTTGTTAAATAATTTTATTCCGTTGTAATAAACATTGTCACAAAGAGGTAATTTTTATTTTGTGTATTGAATAACTGTTCAACATATTCACTTTAGTTATACTGACATTGCACGCCTATGAGATGGTTAATATTATTACGTTAAAATAATAAAAATCAAATTAATTATAAGACATTTGTGGCTTTAATATCTGAAAGCTTTTAATAGAATCATTTAGGATAAAAGACTTGGTTGTTGATTTCAAAATTCAGAAACAACTGGGTGTTTTTTATCCATTTGAGCAAGTAGCTCGTCTCGTATTTAGGTGTGATTTTTATTTTTGTATTGGCTAAAACCCATTAAAAATACACCATCATGTAGCTAAAAGTTAATATTTTGAACAGATTTTTTTAAACATTATAGAGGATTTTTCTAAAACTTCTTTAATATGTCGTATAACATTTTAACTGACTTCTAAGATTCTTGAAGAAAAGTAAAGGGAAAATGTCTAAACAACATTAATTTTTCAGCAACTTATTTTCTGTCGTTTGCTTTTAAAGGGCATTATCAATAATATTTAAGGTAGTTAATTTAATGTATAAAAATTTTACCTCTTTTTTCATTACATTAAATAAAGTTTAGGCAATATATCACCCACTATATTTTCATAAATTAAAGCATTATCAAGTAAACGTTTTCCCTTAATTGTACACCATCGAAAACCCTTGAGTCTTTTCTTGCAATCAGGCAAACCCTAGTTATTTTGTTTTAAATGATCATTTAAGTTATACAGAGAAATTGTATCACTCCATCTAATAATGTTATTTACTCTAACTACAAGGTTAACAAGAAAATGCCAATATCTATTAAAAATAACATATATTTACATTTTATATAACTCAGAGTTAAAAGGTCAAGAATCATATTTTTAAGTAAAACAAATTTATAGCAGTACTGTTTTGTCGAGTCATCTCACTTATATTCCATAAGGATTAACTGCATACGCGTAATCACTTCAAACACCACACTTCACTAATTGCTGTAGAACGTAACGTCAATCTGATCACCAAACCTTCACTGACCACTTCATTGCAAAGAACAGAGGAAATCTTGAGCCTCTAGGAAATCTTAACACACTTTTGAGTGATGTACTCGCGTTATCCTTTTAACACGAAAGTCAATAAGAAGTGAATAGCAAAGTCCAACCTGATACACCTTAAGTATTCATTTATAAAATAGAAGAATGTGTAAATGCTTCTGCGACTCACTCTGGAATTACAGCGAACGAAACTACTGTTTCCCATCACACAAAACAATTTGTCGACGATATGGCTGAAAACTCTAAACTATTTCATAGTGAAGTTTAGATTGTTGACAGTGTTTGCCACAAGCAAGCGCACAAGATGACCTTTAAGATATGCTGCCTAAGGTCTCACCAGCATTGTTTGTAAATATTCATTATGCAACCCATATTTGCTATTATCACTTACTGACACAAAGATGGAGGAATGTTTGTGTTCGAGCAAAGTAACTTGGCCTACTAAGCTCAGTCTGGATCACAATATTGTCTTTATATAGTTGTTATTTTAGTTAATCGTCTAAGATAAGATATTACCTTTGTACTAGCAAATAATGTTCATTACTAGGTGTCCAATGCAGTCGTCTGCTTGCAACATTGAGCGGAGCAAGCATAATAATCTAATACTTCTGAGAAATGGGTTCACATGAATGAGTCTTCCAAAGTCAATGGTACATCTGTTTCACATAAATGAGATGTCTACTTTCAGTATTCAAAGTCTATGTTATAGTTGATTCTAAATAATGGAATGTCTATTTGTAGTATCCAAAGTCAATGGCACATAGTCCTAATTGGTTATTAATTTTGTATTAAATTATGCTTAATGGTATTAATGTGACCGTTCTTCCCTTTTGCTCCGCATTTGTGATGTGTAAATTTGTATAAATGTTTTGGTTTTATGTTACGAATCTTTTGTTTACAGATTTTTTGCTATCGTAAAGACCCATCATGGCGACTTAACAAGCCATTGGGCCCATCTTAAATTTCCTAGAGTCTGAATTTACGTAGATCAAAGCCATGATCAAAGTCATGATCAAAGTCCGATTTGTACCATTTCAGATTTATACCTTTTCAAGTTTGGTTACTCTGACTGTGCTAAACTGCGTACTGATTGCTTCAGCCGTTCAGGAGGAGTATTTGTAAAACCAAGGCCGATTTTTTTATAAATCATATAATATTAAACCTAATACTTATTATCATTTTGGTATTCAGTATATTATTCAAAATATACCAAATATACCTTGAACGTTTATTTTTGGGACTCCTTTATTGATGCAATCTAAATCTAAATCCAATTATTTAAAAGAAGCTGTCTCTTCATTTGGTTCATCTATTTAATTATGTCTAATAGTGTGTTCTTTCAATCATTATTATGATATATATACAAATTTTTAGGTAGCGTAAATATGTAGAACAGTATTTATATAAACTGACAGCCAACTATTAAGAAACTACCAAACCACATCAAAATGTAAGATGCCAACTCTATTCCTTTCCAAAATAAAATACTTAATTCTAAAATAATTGTCGGTTACCTTCTCAAACTCCAGTTTCATGGGCTTGATGAACATGGAGGACCATTATTCATACCAGCCATTTTTGGCTTGTTCCTTTTAGGAATATTATTTAAACCCAAGACAACCTGGATAATTATTGGTAGGAAATCTTTAGTAATTACACAGGCAATTATTTGTCTATATTTAATATTGCACTTTTCCATTTTATATAATTATCAATAGTTATTTGAGACGGTGACTAAGGTGGGTTTGCATAAATTCGTATCGTTGCTCAAAGACTAGTAACTCCAGTTAGGGTAACGTATTATAAGCCTAAGAAATTATCAAGGGCAACTGGGAAATTATTAAAACAATCAAGAAGCTCCTCATCTTCCGTTATATTCTTACCAGCAAGCTTCAGATTTTTGTGATACAATTTTTTGTAGCTCGTTAACATAATTAGAACTTATATAGGCCTAATTATTACCAAAAATTATTTACTTCTTTATGGCTGATGCATACGAACTAATACTACCGCTATTTTAAAAGCAACACATATTACGTTTCGACACAATAATAAATATTAATTCAAAATATTTTTAGAATTCTGAGGTGGAAATTCAAAAGGGAATTCGATACTATTTTATTCATACAATTTAACAAAATAATAAACGCAAAAATGTTTGACAATAATGCAGAAAGTTCAGAACATTTATAAATTTAATCAATAGATTCCTGCAAATAATATGCAGATTAAGTTAAACTGACTAGGTTATGAGGTTTGAGCTTTTAGTGGATCCATCTGCTTGATTGAGAATACATGCTGATTCATTGCAAATGATATAACGTTGTATATTGATTGTGGTAAATTGTTAAGTAAGCACAACTAAATAAATTTTATTTTTATTAAGTTATATACTAACTATGTTATATGGAAACCAAACATGATGTTAATACACGTGAAAAGTACAATATCCTAAATGATTAGCATTAAGTCAATTGACGTTGTAACTGTGCATCAGTTTATAGAACAATAAAATACTAGACTAGAGAATTTGACAATCTAATTTACAATTAACTTAATTAGATTATAATAATTACTATTACTGGATCTTTGAGTGGCATATAAACACTAAACAGTGGTATACAATTTATGTTTCAAATAATCAATGTTCATTTTAAAGACAGAGTATAAAGACATATTCTTTCTTTCTATAAAGATAGGTATATTCATTAAAATGTAATTTCTACAGTTTTTTATACGTTTTGTTTTGTTTTAAACTTTTTTTACCAAAAACTTAAACTGTAATTTATGCATTATATGAAATATAACCTGACATTTGTAGTCTGTGGACAACAAAACACAATACATGGTGCATTTGATTGCTTTGCTTTTAAAAATATAATCTGACTACATTTCTGCGACGACAAGCAAAACAGTAAAAAATATTGGAGTAATTAATGATTTTTTTATGATTCTAAGATTTCAAAGATTAATTGGGTGACAGACTCTCACTTTCCGTTCGGGTTTTTGAACGTTAAAGCCCTCCAGTCTAATATTTCTTTGGGAAATAATTCGTTTTCATCCCAGCAAAATTTAAACAAGTTATTCTTCGTATTCTTAATTAACTAGACATTTTTTTTTTTACTCAAATGCCTTGTACTTCAGTTAAATTAAATGCAGTTGTACTTGAAGTAAATATAAATGAATCTGAGATAGAATCTAAAATTTAGACAAAACATATAATATTTCCTTCGTTTATATCTTGGTTTTAGGTCTTTTATCAAGAGCTACCGTGTTAGTAAGAGTATTTTGCCAAATTCTTTTGATAAGTTTTCCATAGATCGAATATATCGTAATAGATTAATTTTCCACATCGATCAGCTAACCTGTTATTTCCTAAACAGGTTAGTGTTTAGATTTTTTTCTATTTATGTAAGTTTAATTTTATTACTATTATAACTATCACAACTACAATAGATATACCGTACTTTCTTTTTTACTGTTTGACCTCGTGTGTTATTGCCAAAAAAATATTGTGTGGTTTGTAAGGTCTACTAAAACATAAGTGTGGGTCTTGTATAGAAGGACTTATTTAGTCAAATTCAGCTCACCCCTTCGTTACGAGTCGTGAAACACATACCAAAACAATAATTGGTTTTATAACAAGATAAAAACCTTCATAAGACTTAACAGTTTTCATTTATGCCTATCGCAAACCGTTTCTGTAAGTCACCACGTTCTAGGTAGTAGAGACTTTAATGGTATTCGTTGAGACCGTTACAATACTAATGGTAGGTTTTTTTGATGAGCACAAAACTACATTTTTTCACCAAATTGATCAAAACAAAAATATACAAAATAGAAATTGAGTCTTTCTGTTTTTATTTGATACTAGTCAATGAAACTAATATTTTTACTATCACATTTTATTCGTTAAAATATATCCATTTAAAACGTTTTTAATTACCTCATGTATAAAATCATTCAAATGTACACGGCAGCGGACTTTGAGTTGAGCCCAATAAATGCAGTTACTGCCAAAATGATAACGTTAGTATTTAACAGGAGAAGTCGCAATGCAACGAAACAAATTGCCTTTTAAACTACAAAAAAGCTGGTTTCAAAGTTAGTTGTACGGTGACGTAGTAATATCCTAAATCTAAATAACTTGAATAATATCTTTTTGTTGTTGCTGAGGTCAAGGAAACCATGTTTAATAACACGTCCTTATTCAGTGTATGATTATAACGAGCCCATTGTTTTTCAATTGATCATTCATACCAATTTACTTTACTTCTACAATTACAGATTGAGATTAGACAAAACCGGACGTTTGACCTACTTTGGGAGAATCTAATACAAGCAATATGATATTGATGACAATAAGAGCATCAATTTATTGCGTTTTAATAACTAAAAACCCATCTCGTAAATCGAGTAAATAATTAAAATAAAATAGGTAATAATCCAATTAGGTACCACTAAGCTTTATATTCTTAACCCTACTTCATCGTTTGATATTTCGGGAATGGGAACATTTTTGGTAGAGTATTATTTATCTATAAATGTATTTATCACAGTAGTATTCAATACTACATCAGATTAAAATTTGATTTTGTTCAACAACAATGATCATGATCGTCCATCAATGAATAATACTGTTTACGAACTCCTTTACAATGTCATCACTTATTAACATTTAATTTCTATTCTAGCTCCTCGTATAAATCTATCCTTCAGAACAACTAATCGTTCAGTAAATATTTTAAACGATTCAACCAGATGTGGTGACAAATTTGACAAATGTAGGGTATATAAATTAGCTTGTGCCAGTTGTCCTAGCACGTATACCGGACAGACAGATAGAGATTTCAATACTGGATACAAGGAGCATAGACCATATCCTCTTAATACAAAACAAAAATCATCGTTTGCTCAGCATTTGGTCGATAAAAACCATAACATGAACGATATTAATAAAGGCCTTGAAATCCTACATGTTTGCAAAAAGGGAAGCAGACTTAACCCTCTCGAAGAATTCGAAATTTATAAGGCACAGGTTAATGAGAACAAAAATATTGAGAGCGTAATTCTGAATGAATAACTTAAATTCAAATCCCATCACAATTTCAATAACATCTTAAAACAAAGGCAGAGTTCGACGCCCATTGGTCAGCAGTCCACATCAGCTGATAAGACAAGGACGACAATGCACAACTAGTTCAGTCTGCGACAACGGTGTGCGTGCGTCCTGCCCCTGTATTTTATGTAATTTAATGTTAAAAGTATTATTCGTTTTCGTATTGTTTTCGTCCCGTCCGTGTGTGTGTGTTTGTGTATGTACTTTTAGTAGGAAACAATGACAAGGATTTCACCATCCAACTGCGATGTTTTGACAATGGCCGATACAAGCCGAAACATGTAAACGGACTTCAATTTAAAATGAGCTGTTTGTCGGATTTATAAGGTATGTAACCTATTTATTATATGTCATCACTTAATTTCTTTTATCACATTTAATAAAAGCATGTATGAATTCCGTACTTTTTATGAAGTGTCGGATTCATTGATTCACTTCATATCTACAAACCAAATAAATTGACGCACAATCGAGTTTAATGTAACAATGTAAGTTACAATTTAGTTTCTAAATGTTTCTCCGTTGTTCCGGCTGGTAAGTATGCTCCTATTTCAACAACCTTCAGGTATCGGTGTAAAATATGAGCAAATAAGTATGAATATAAATAATGATAAGGGGGTTATAAATGCGAAGTGATAAAAGGCCTAGTTGCTGTCACAGCCATTACGTCCGTAGATTTTATCGACACAACACAAAATGAAGGCAGTAGCGGCTCTTTTCGGTGAGTTTCCTTCAAGGATCAAACAAGATAAAGATAATTACTTTTAATTACTAGGTCAAAGATTCACTCGTAATTCACAACAAAGTATAACAAATTGCAAGAAATTAAAATCATTGTAATTACGTTACAACTTAACCATCTGTTAATACTATCACCGAGGCACTGTACTTCAATATTTTTTATTGATTATTTACCTAATACTGTTTAATAAACAGATTTTTAAAATAGTGACTTGAATCACATTTACTTAGTTTTGGAATTGCATTGGTTTGTGTTAGTTTTTTATCCATTGAATAAATAAATGTAACGTCATATAAACACATACTATAACATATTTACCATATTATACATATATATTATATATTATATATATTATATATATTATATTATATATTATATTTAACATATTTTTATTTTTTGGCTTTAACATATTTACCTGAAACTATTTTAGCTTAATCGATATAATAATTAATTAGATATTTGGTGAAATATTTCTTGAAAAAAGTTACATTTATCAATTCTAAGTCAAAGGCCTTTTCCTGACTTAGTTATAAATTAAAAAAGAATTCAAGCAATTTATTTAGGTCTTTGTGTTATTACTGTATTAAGCTTTATAATTTTTATTTCCAAACAAAAGATATAACGTTATTTCTTTTAAAGTTTAAACGTTACTTCACATATAATCATTAAACTAATTTTAAGAAATATTCGTAAATAGATTTATTTTTTTGAAAAATTTTAAAGTATCTTAATTTTAATATTTTTATGGATCTAATAATAATACTGGGTATAATTGTTGCACGTTCTGTGTGAGAGCTAAAAATACATAAAAATATTTCAAGGCTGCATACAATGTTACATGAAAATAAATACAATCTTAAGGTGAAGAGTTTTGTTCAAATTTCAGAGATTTTCATATTGCCACAGAATGTAAGTTGCCAAGCGTTTCACTTTATTTTTATTTTTATTGCAAAGTATATATTATATCACATAAAACCTGTTTGTATAGCTTTGATATACGATCTTCCCATTAGTTTGATATGTTACCTGGGAAAACATTTCCAAAGGGCAACTCTTTGACGGAATGATATATATCTTTAATATCTGGATCTTCAAAGAGTCAAATCCAGAGTATGTAGTTAGCTTAAATTCTTATATATGTTACACCTAATCATCACTAGAATATGAATGATTTCATTTGTCTATAAATAACAATCTATACGATATCAAAGAGAGAGCAAACCATGTCAGCCTGTCATTTTCATGAATACATTATTTTGCGACAGTAGAGTTAAACAAATCTTTTGTGAAAATATCACTTTGATTTTTACAGTACAAATTAAATGATTTTGTGAGAAAGTCTATACAAAAGTGGATAAATAAACGAGTGACATATTTAATCTTTTTAACTGCACCTTTAAGGAACGTTATTATGTCCTTGTGAATTTGATTTAAAAAGGGGAAACCAGAAACCCTGGATGTTTATCTGGAGGCAGAGTGAAGTGTGAATGTATTTTCGGGAAATTGTTTACCAAAATCTAAAATAGCGTTTACTTTAATGAGATTTTAGTTAACATTAAACGTGTGCATGTTTTCAATATGTTACTTTATAGTTAGTTTTACTTCCAAACAACTAAAAGACTTTTAATGGAATGCATTATGATACTACTAAACTTCATTTAAGTATGTCGTGGATTATTCTTATTTTCAATCATTTATCTTACCATTTCCCACTATAGTCTTTGAAGTACTGTAAAGCCTATTCGATTATTGATATTAGGATGTAATTATTCCTCTAAAAATAAAACTATCCTACGAAAACTCTAGAGGTGTCTAAAGAAAGGGCTTGGTCTGTAGATGAGCCATCAAAAGAGAAACGTGGTAAATTCCCTTGGGGCTCTGCCCCAGAGGCCTTTAAAGTTCCCTCAGCAGATTTGTTTACATCACGACCATATGCATACATTTACACTACTTTTTAATGAAACAGCTGTTAATATTTAAATAGTGATTTACTCAATTTGTCAAAATGAAGTATTTGAAATGGTTTTTGCTGATTTTAAAATCGATTTTCTTCTGAATCGTGCTATGTTTTGCAAAATAATGTTCTTTCACCAAATCAGTGGAAAATCCTAATATCACAGTAACTCTTAAAACTATTTCTTATGAAGTTAACTTATATCTATTTTATGGGTTGGTTTCTGTCTTTTTTACCACTTCTTGGAGATTGCACGTAGACGATATTCTTTGGCGTATTGCATCTGTAGTAGACGATACTTGGTTGGTGTCATTTTTTAAATTACAATGGAAAAAACGAGAAATTATGAACAATTTGATATACTAAAAATAAAACTGAATTAACACTGTGCTACATTTCTTGAGCAATAATTGAAAGAGCCGATTTGCAAACAATGGAAACAGGAAAGTCATAGAACACAACCAAGTACAGTAGAAGAAATAGAAATATTGTTGTTTTTTTTTTTTTCATTTAATCGTTATTATAGACAACCTAATGCGGCTATGAGTGGGAAGCCTTTTTAGAAAACACAAAAAAACAAGGTCAGCTTTTGAAAAAAGATAAGATATTTACAAAAAGTTTTAATTATATCTAACTGTTGTGTACATCTTCAGTATTTCCATAATCTTTGAGTTGACTCTTATAAAGTCATCGGAAATTATTTTTAAAAAAACGCCTGTAATGCTTCGCAATTGCTCGAATTCGAGCAACAGGTACACTAGTATACTTTAAACTTAAATAAACATCAAGATTTTAATACAACAATCACTCAAATAAATCATAATCCTGACATGTATAATTATTGTAATCCTATAATAACATCATATTTATTTTAAAATGTAAAACAATTTTATAAATTATTAAACTCATTTTTGAAGTGTTGAATCTCGAAACTTGCTGATTGATATATTTTCGAAATTGTAGGCCTATATTTGAATTAGGTGGTTTTGATATTTGATATTCAGTTTTGGCACATCACTTTATCATACGCAATAGTATTGATGTTGTGATTTCTAGTTCAATATTGAAATATTTCAGGTGTACACCAGTGAAAGAACCATAGTACTAAAAGTCTCTTGCAGGATAATATTATTACATCATAATCACATGTACATTTCATATACTATTTAATATATAGCATACTTGCTTACATTGTATATACTTGTGTTGTAGGTCTGGCTTGCGCCGTCCTCATCTCCTACTCGGACGCCATCCCCGCCCCTAGCTGCTGTGGGCTCGGCTCTCCCGTCAGTATATCTATAGGTTTATTTTATATATTTTAAGATTTGTAGATTTTTATAGACCAATATGTTTATATATCATGTTAACTGGTTTCACTTTCATTATTCAGTACAACATATGAAGTATCCCGACGTTGTATCAGCTATACATATTGGTAAATCTTAAAGTAAAAAAATAAAATGTGTCAAACATTTAATTTTAAAATATTTTTCATCGAAAATTATGGTTGATTATAGCAAAATTAAATCAGAATTCTGGAGTAAATACATAAATAGAATACACAAATAATACATAAATGGGTACAAATTAAAGTGTTTAATTGGTACACTCTGAAACAAATATATTGAGAAACACATGTCCACATTTTTGTAGACAACTCGTACTAAGGTTAAAGTAAAATATACACTATTAGTATGCTATTTGTGAATAGGAAGTTCCTCAAATAACAATTATCATTGTATAAAATGTCGTCAACACGTTTTATTTACTGACACAACTCTGCTCCAAATAAAAAGATCATAAATTACCTACGCCTAATCCCTTGGCTATTTTGCTTGTTAATTCAAAACTACCATGTATCGATAGTAAAGAGACTATTACACTGTTATCAGTTGGCCTCATCTTTGTCGAGCTCAGCTTCTTCAGTATTTACATAAAGATATTAAGAATTGAAAAACATGTGTCAATTAGTATGATGTTGTTCAATGAAACTATCTCTTATAGATGGAAACTTGAAATTGATAGAGTTACGAGTTTATATTTAATTGTTTTGTATGTGTCCAATGTTTTTAAGTCTTCGTAAAAAGCGTATTTAAGGAAAGGATTGTTCTTTTATTCAAATTATTATTCAAACAAACGCCACGGAGAGCAAGTGTTATGAGCTAGGTGTTTATTTTTAGTGTGTTAATAATTTTCTTTGCTGACCACTCAACTTGCTTAAGTGGTCAGTTAGTTTTTCCAACGACAAGATTGTTTTTTACCATGTTAATCTTTAATGGTAATAAATCCTTTCATTCGTTAATACTGTTGGTAAATATTATTTAACATAATATTTTTTCCTCAGTGCGGAACCTACTACAGTGGTGAGTGCTGCGGTGGACTCGCCTGTGGCCCAGCCTCCACATGTATAGCAGGTAAATCACTATTTATAGATTGATTACAATTCAAAGAAAATTTAGACTAAACAAACACATTACACTAACAAACACACAACAAATACACTAAACAAAATTTTATGTGTATGATTAAACACATTTTGGGGCATTTTACAAAATGGATGTGTACGAATTTCAGCATTCCTTAAAATTCCTCTCAATCATATATGGTTTCAGTTTCGTCATTATGTAGGGTACTGACTTAAAATTAATTTATTTCGATTTTTTACGTTTTCGTTTTTTCATAATAGTTTGATCGTTTCTGTCATTTCAGTCTTTGCACCTTTGTTTCCTTTATTAGCAAAACTACTTCAATGTTTTTGTGGTCAACTTAATCCTTACGTATATGAATTATCCCCTTTTCCTTGGCGTGCATGACAATATTGTAAGTGCTACTACTTTTCCATTTAAACTGTAGTTAAATATTCAATTGGCATACTATTTTACATATTCCCCCAACCCATTACTTTCTTCTGATCTTTACCTAATGAATTAAAGGATAAAAATATTTTATGTTCAATTATATTTTAACTCTTAAAAGTGTTTCCATTTCCCTATTTATTCAATTGGAGTTTTGATAGGTATTTACATATTTCATCCTGAATTGAAAGTTAATTTCAAAACAAAATTACACAAACGCCTATCTTAAAAATAAAAGCAACTGGCAAAAATAATTCATTGTTAAATGTGATCTGCATGCTTTCTGAGAACTATTTCTTATCTATACTATTTACACGTATAATACTTTTTTGTCATTTTACTCACACTATTACACAATATTAGGAACATGATCGTTTTCTAGCTCAGTATCCATTTCCCCATTACGGGTATGGAGCAGGTGGGGCCGAATATTTACCTTACTACGGTTACTAGTTTGAACAAGACGTTATGACGAGACACAAATCCGTATCTATCTGAGCATAAAAACATGGTTTGTAATACACTTTAAAACATTGTTCTTTGTGGAATTATTAACTGACCAACATTTGTAACAAAAATATAATCCAAGAAATTATTTTTAGTGTTACTCAAATTTTTATTTTCTATTTAATGTTCTACAATTTATATAAATAGAATGAAATAACTTGTTTGTTTATACTTACATACTACCACTTCATAATGGGTCAATGTTCATTAAATGGCAATACAGTAATAGGCTGTTACAGTAACTTATAATAAATGCTTAGCATATTAAGAGCTACTTGAACTAAGAATTTTAAATATTGTTAGTGGAACAGATTTTATTAGTTTTAAACATGTATCATCTATATGTCGATTTTTAAAACCATTTTGGTGTTTCATCACGTGTATTAACAAAAATTGTATGGATTATTTTATTAGCCAAAACATCGGATGTGGAACAAACATAAATTGGTACAGAGTGTGCGCAAAAAACCACTTTTTATAGGTCTGCGTAAAAAATTACTGTAATATTATAGAAAATTAGTCGAGTGTATGGATTTACTATAACAATAACAAAATGCAAAAAGAAACTTTCAAGTGGAAACTTTAAAAATATATATATTTAAGGTAAATTGCATTAGATTGGTAACCTCTCATTATACAACGGTTTATTCTTAACACTAAGTTTTCCCTTTACTTTTAATTTGTTCAAAAAAGGCGAGTCATGTCAAATATTACACTGTAATTCTAATACACAATTTAAACTTTAGCAACATGAATTAACTCGAAAATATGTATATTTTATTTTCCAGTTTTCTAAATGATTATGATACAATTTTGACTATAACATTTCTTTGTTTAGCGACCCTCCCCTTCCCCTATTACGGATACCAATATCCATACTACGGGTTTTGATCGAACTACTTTGCTGGCGAACCAGGGACAGCAAACGTTTAACTGTGGAGTTCTATTAAACTTTTGGATTCAATAAAAACATTCTACACACAACAAGAGTTTTTATTATAACACGAACAAATTCTAAAAGACAAAGCACACCACCCTAATTCCGTGCTTATAAATCTTTGTGGGCAATTTGATTTATTATTAACGTAATTATAACGTAAAACTCTGTGTATGTACCTATTTAATATTGATTAACAAATTAGAAAAAACACTTTTACTTAAATAGCATACATATGGTCTATGTGAAATTATTATTTTTTCAATATCAAAAAACACCTATCTGGATCTTTCATTTACCCTGGATGATTTTAAACAGTAAGGGACTCTAACTTTGTATGCAAGGTCTGTTTGTTTGGTAGCCCTGTAACGTACAACACAATCAGAAACATGGATTTTAATTAACTCCTTTCCTTCCAGGATCGTATCCAATGTACAACTCAGGGCTTTACCCATACTATGGCTACTAAAGTAAAAAAATAGTAAAGTAATATTTTGATCCTATTTGGTTGATAGTTACTGCTTGATAAGAATAACATTTTTTTTACTTTGGACAAACGAGTAGTAAAGTAAGTAATTTTTAAATTTTAGTTTTTTTTTAGTTTTTCTGTGTTTGTATTTTGTATTATTAGTGATCCAGATATTTTAATTACCTAAATATTTCTATTATAGCTTAAAGTACTTTAATTTTTTCCAATTTTATGATCTAATAATTATGTATTAATAACTTTACATGGTGGACTAACCGCCATCTGAAAAAGCTTTGAGAATTAAAATTCACCACTATGTTAATAGTATGTCTCAGACCATTGCGGAAGTTCAAAAAATTACATTTCCAAATAACATCTTCTTATCTACCCTATCTTCTGCTTAATCACAACACTTTTACTACAATTTCACTAAATATTTCCGTGCTATATGACAAGAAACGTTGCCCAGGCACAACAGTTATAGATGTAAGTTTTGTCTATGCACTGTCCTCTTAGAACATATATTTTCCCCAACTTTAAAAACAAACAATTATTGGTGCTTCTCGTAAAGAGTTTTTCCAATTCTTAATTAACCCACTTTCTCGCTTTAATGTATAAAAACAAGTTATCTGAAACGATTAAGGTTCAGAAAGTATGTTGAATCTCCACTTGGGCTTTGCTCATACACAAAACAAAACTTGTATACTCGAATTTTTTTCTCAAACTCTCAATTGTTTTATAGGGACCTCTTTGGTTACACTCATACTGATGTGTAAAGTGATAGATACAAATATTACCTAGTTCCACAGAAAATACTTAATGCCTTTTACAGGAATCAATTCAAATCAATTCAATCAAAGTAACATACATTCTCTTGTAGCTTCCGTTATTCTTCGTTTGAAACAGCAGATATTCATTGGTAATTGGCGGGGTTTGAGCCTGAAACCTTGGAGACCGAAGTCTAATGCTGTATCACTAATTGCACTATACAAATAAATGTTGGACCAATGCGAGCAAATGTAACCAAGAGAGCCTCTTGGTTACATTTGCTCGCATTGGTCCAACATTTATTTGTATAGTGCAATTAGTGATACAGCATGGGACTTCGGTCTCCAAGGTTTCAGGCTCAAACCCCGCCAATTACCAATGAATATGCAAGTGATAACCGGCCTAAAGTCATGTGTAAAACAGTTCCACGCTCGAGCCTACGTCCTTGGAAGTCAAGATCAGATATAAAATAAAATGTTATTTATAGTTTTGAGCCACGTTACCAAACCTAACTTCTTGTTCCAGCTGAGTACCCCTTCCCCGCCTACGGACCGTACGGATACCCCTACTACGGATACTACGGTGGCTACGGATACTCTGGCCCCGCTTGCATTGGTTGCGGCTGTGGCTGCAATGAGTGCTACGGATGCTAATTCACAAGCTCCACTACTCACTTCACTAGATAGTTATTTAATTTCATATTTTATTAAATCAAGTCTCTCGTTCGTATTCAGTAGTTTGATTATTCCTGTAATTCTTAAAACTTTAGTAAAATGAATTAAGGTGTTTAGATGGTAAGCACCATTGTCAAATAGAGCAAAAGGTTCAACATAAGTCATATACTGGTTTTAGAATAATGGTAAGTTGGTCAGGTTATGCTTTGTAGAACTTTTTTAATTATTACACAATTCAAAACTTTTTACCATGCAGTGGAAATGAAAAGTAAGTTTCTTTTCCTAAGGACTACTTTCATTGTTTATAACAAATAATAAATCATGTTAATAATACTTATATATTTTTAAACAATACATGTATACGGGGTATGCGAGTGGCGACACGAGCATTGAGCCAGCTAATATGAAAATCTTACAAAATTTACGAATAACATTTTTATATACTTAATTCACCTTCGTCTCCCTTATTTACTTACCTTTTTTATTTATTTTTATATTTTCAATTCCTTTTTCTATTGTTCTTACAAAAAATCTTTCAATACACACATCAGCTGTTACAAACTTCAATAATATGTTTGTGTCTTATCAATAGTGTTTCGAAATAATAAAAAAGAATATCTATAAAACTTTTTAAAACTGTAAATTATTAATTTATCACGTATAAGTAATAATACCAATTAATATTTTCTTTTACCAGGAATAGTAAGGAAAGCTCCCATCTTTGAATCTGTAATACATATAACTTAATTTTTTAATACCTGGGGACTGAGCCATGGCTCGGTGTAGTTTATTTTCATGTTAAAAGCAATATAAAGGAAACTCATATCTTATTTACAACTAATTTTAGCTTTTATTATTTGAGATTCAGTAGAATTTCAATAATTTTAATAATTTTATTATGATGGGAATTTTAACCTGGCGACACATTAATTTATTTTACAGTTTCTGGTAAAAATCACTCGTTTATAATAGCATTAATAACCTAATATTGCATGAAAATTATTCTGACAGTTTGTTTGGATTAAAACAACCGATTTAAAAATCTTTGTTTGGATTCTAATTTATATCAAATAAATGTAATATTATTGCATATATTTTCTCTGTTTTAACCAAAGTTTGCTTAAAATTGCCTCAGTACTTCGGGGATTCGTTTTTCTAGATGATAAGCCAATGAAAATAATCAGTATTAGATCGGAACTATTTTCGCCTATATCGAGTTATCTTCAGCGTAATCTATGCTCAATAGTAACAACTGATGTTTTCCCTTTGTACTGTATTGTGTAATTAGCTAGGCTGTGGATGGCTTGTTATAAACACGTGTTACAAATCTTTTGTCTCCTTTTTCCTTGATATTTTGTTCAACCAACATGGTTACTTGGCAATTAATAAGGTCGATGTTAAAAATGTTTTTACGTAATAAGATTTTGGTGACAGTTTTAACAACGGTAAACACGTTTTTAGGCCAGAAATAAATTATCTATAACATTCTAAGGAAATCGACCAAGCTGTTTACGAGATCTATAGCAAACATGCATACAAGCAAACAATGCTCATATAATAGTTTAGGATATGAAATATGAAATTGAGCTTTTAATTAGATGAAATTGACATTTTATAACAAGATTAGAGTGAGTCATTACATATTTGAGACCATATGTTTAAAAGATATTTATTGAACAATTTTAAAAGGTTGGAAATAATTAATTAATGGCCCACTTTAAGTCGTGTTTTGGACGTTACTTTTCGCTATACTACAAAGACTAATGATTTTTTAGTTAAAAATTAGACTGGAATACTTGTTTTTTGTTAGGCACATTTAAAAACTAATAGCATTTTCAGATTATTCCTTCTATTTTTTGAATTAACATTGATTGCAGAGTTTTGGTTCTTAAAATTGAAACAGTTGTTGAAACCATAACAAATGTTTGTTTGTTTATGTCGGAAAATCCAAGAGATAATGATTTTTTTTCTTAGTAAGTAATGTAATGATGAATTTTCGTTTATTTATGTCCATTGTTGTTAGTCCTGAAAAATCTATTGCTGTACATTTATTTTGAAAATATAAGAACTTTTTCATTTCATGTAAAATAAATGGAATAACTCGTATGTACAATTACTTTCAAATAGAAGAATTACGCAATACGAATAAACATCTCAATTCTGTGATTAATTAAACAAATATCAATGTTAGGATTTTAATAGACATCTGGTAAGACAATTAAGTAATCAAATCAATGTGTCAACATATTACAGATGGAATGAAGCAAATAAAGTGGTAGAGGACAGCATGCAAAGTGTAAAATCGTTCTGAATTCAAACTAGCCAATACAAAAGAGAAATATATAAACAATTGCATATATCTTTCTTCTTTTATAAAATTTTTTCACAAAACCGTTACGGTATAAGCCTACTAACTACATTTCCTGGACTTTTTAAAGCAGGCCATTAAAGACTAAACAATATGTGTATTAAAACTAGTAAATGTAAGTTTTTATTAGCCCATGAACAGAATAATTTGTTTTTCACTATTACAAACTCAAATGTTTAACCCCATAACAGAACAAGAAGATTGGAGGACCAAATATCATTTTGAATTAAGAATCCCCCCCCCCCAAAAAAAAACCAAATAAAACTGCAGAGGGAAAAGGTAAATTGCCTGTGCGTGTGCGTATCCTTTGATGAAAATCACTAATTAAAGAAGTTTCAAGAACAGCTTCAAAGGACCAATGATTGGAGAGCAAGAAATCAAAGTAGTTAACCTTTTTAAAGCTTTGCGATTTTTCCTGGGCTGGAATAAAAAGTGGGCAAATTAAAGTCATACATAATTACATTACATAGTACATAATAAAAGATGCATCACTTATTAAACTTCTGTTTTCTGATATTCATTTCATGAGTGTTTTGATATTTAAACATTTTCTTAATACTGTTCCTCCCAGCCATACACTCCCTTAAAACGTACACTCCTTATGGTTTAGCACCACCCAGAAGCGAGTGTGTTAAAACCCCTGCGACAGCAAACCTACAAGCTATGGATTTTTAAAATTAATTTTTAATGTTTTTTTTATATTTAAACAGATTTTTGTTTAAGGACAATTTAAACTTTTAACTTTCTCTCAATTTGTTGATTATTGGCCTATTTTGAGCAGTACCATTTGGAGCTTCATTTTTTAAATACACAGTATCAGCAATCTGACCCATATTTTATCCCATTAGCTTATCAACAATCTTATTATGCACAAGTGGTGGGGGTAAATCTGTATTTTATGGGGGAAAACACAAAGATTCCATTCACTTTTGCACTGTAACTTTTACAACGTTGGGATTGTACCATTGTTTGGATTCAAAAAGACCAAAAATGCCAAATTTTAAGCCGTTTTTGTTAAAATCAGATTTTTCTGTTATTTTATGGGTCTTAATGAGTTCACCATGTAAAATCCAAATTTCAAAAAGAAAATAATTATAAAAAAACTCCTAAAGATAATATGGATTAGGCCCACCATCGATCACTATTATCTCTATTATTACAGGGCCCACATAACCCACATTTTATCGAAATTGGCCACAGATGTAGTCTGTAACTCAAATACAAATTCACAGACATCAATTCATATACCTTTTTTTGGGTTCAGGGGGACCCAAATTGGATATTTCCACCCAAAACTAAAATTCAAAAATTTTGACAAAAAAATACTTTCTCCACATACTATGTAGATTGGGGGGGGGATAAGAAAAAATCGTATACTACAATAAATTAATCACTTAATAACAATATTTGATTATTTTTAGATTTGTCCATGAACAAGCAATCTGCCATAACTAGCTTTAAATTTGAATGGCATTTTTTTAGGCGAGGTTTATTATTATCCTCAGGGAATGCCCTGAGGAAGCGGGTCGTTATTTTGGTCCCACAAAACGTCGGAAACGATTTTTATGTGCGTGTATGTGTATTCGTAAGCTAAAAGCTTTTAAATTCGTAAGTATAAAATTGGAGACAACGTCCTGGATTCATCCTTTTTAAATCACGTTAAGCAATAGGCATTGAAGAAATTACATTGATTATGTTATACCTTATACACATATTTATATTTTATCCTGGGTGCCCAAAAAATAGAAAAACCACACAGTAGGCCTGGACCTAGATCACACAATGGAGATTATAGTCATATCAATTCCCGTATAGAATCAATAGGCATCAATAACCAAATAGGGAGGGGGTCAATTCCTATTGTTTTGTTAATCTTGTAATTCACTCATTTAATTCCGGTTTGTGTAATGTCGCAAGATGAAATTGTCTGCATTTGTTGGTCCTGAGACACGTCTTTCAGTTTAATTTACTATACAGACAATAATATAAAGTGGCCTTTTCTTTGTGTTTTCCTAGTTACAAAATTTGAATTAAATTATTATTTTCTTTTTTGGGCGGTTATAAACTACTAGCTCATGAACGCAGGCAACAAAAATGTTAATTATTAGCGATATATTATTTGTCTGCTTAACTTGTGCAAAAGGTCAACATCTGTCTTGTATGTTGTTTAATGCTGTGTAAACAAAGGCAAAAGTTTTCTATCCTATGAGTTTGATAACATTTTCTTTTGCTATTGACCAAACACTGGCCAAAGGTGTCTTAGAGACTTTCATGGGAAAGTGTTTGTTTTTAATATAGCTCTCGAACCAGGAGAAACGTTTAAAACAAACATAGAATCTTATCATATCATAAACCATCCCAGACTGGTGTAGGTGATAAAACAATAAAATAGTTTGACAGTTTTCTTCTGAACTTAGAAAGGAGTGCAAGATGAGGACCTTTGTTGCTTTATTCGGTATGTTATTTTTTGTATTTACCATTTAAAATATTTCCTTGACAATTAAAATCAAGATGAAATGTATTCAACATGTATATGTAAATAAACTTGTATAATATTCTAACATTATATTAAAATGTTTAAAGTTTTTATGTGGTTGATTACTTGCTATTTAGATAAAGTAATATATTTTGGTATAGTTAGAAATAGATAAATACAGAATTATTTAGTACGCTATAGTTAAGTTTTATTGTGAATTTGATTGCTTATAAATATCACCCAAATAATCGTAAATACCTCTAAAGAAGGATAAAAACTTTAAATTACTTAAATCAAACTTAAGTCTAAAATATAATTACAGCAACTAGCTGTTACCCACGGGCTCCACCCCGTTTACTACATAATTATTAATAAAACTATTGATTGGTTAAGTTAAGCTGAAATAAACAAAGCAGAATACAGTAATGGTAATACAAACAAATAATAACAGCTGAGGTATTTTTAACATTAGGTAAATGGAAAGTTCCCTTTGGAAAGCAATTACGACCTTATAGGGCAATTTATGAAATTGCCCAATTTGTATGAATTTTGCGCAAGGTTTCTCATCATGACGAACATTTTAAGTATATGGTTTATAGGGGTGTGACTTGTAGTTTTCTCAAAAGTTCATGGGTACTTTTGGCTTTATATATAGATGTCTTGGAATTAATTTTCTACAAAATACAACATTTATGAATATTTATAGCCTAAATATATAAAATCCTAAATGCATAACGAACTTCAGTATATTTGTAAACGTTTAGGACGTATGAGTTCAGTATACATAGTTATTTCAAGAGCTTAAAAATGTATTCTCAAAAAGTATTTTCTAAACGTTTGTCGAACTGTAAATTATTTTATGAAATATGTAATAACATTACATTTAAAAATCATACAAATCTATACTATTTAAATCCTTGAAATACACATTAGGTATATTTTACTTATCTACTTCTTACTATTAAGAAAAATATTTCTCGTGTAAAATAAACCATGACAATGATAGAGATTGAAATTACACATTCATACAACCATGTTGATGATTCTAACTAGTTAATTTACCTGCCTAATTTTTCTGCAGTAACATCAAACGTTCTTTATAGTTAGCACTGAACAATACAAAGGTTTTATAAAACTAATTTGAAACATCAAACGAACATACAATGTTTTGAATATTTTGTTAAGCTCTGTGCCGAAAAATAAATTTCTGAACTGTGGTCTAAGTGAATTTTAGACGTAAAAGTAAATGTAACTAAAATTTTATAATTGTGTATTCGAAGCTGCGGAATCACATAAGACTTTTATTATTTTGAGGAACCATGTAGTCAACTGGGGGGAGTTCTTCAATTTGTAAAGTATGACATAAGTCAATTCAAATGCTACAACATTTTGTCAGAATCTATCTATTTTCACTCTATAATTTTCAGCTAGCTTTGTTTTTCTTATTTTTTCCATTGGCAGGTTGTCATTAGATCTATATTTGTTTTATTGTCCTTATCTGGCTATAGCTTCGTGGAGCATACTATACAGTTGTTGCAAACTGTTAAAAATTACTATTTTTTTACATTGATTGGTCAAATAACTTCAAAACAGTAAGATTGACTTTAAAAAAATTCGATGACTTTCCATTTAAAAACCTAGTAAACGAATTTAAAGATTCTTCAGGATCCTAAACAGATTGACTAGGAACCATCATCTTAAAATATTATGATACTGGGACGTAGCCAGTTATTTACTGAAATGCCTGTTTATGAATCTATTGCAATAACTCAATTTTTAGATTATTAATTTATGCCTACCTTTAAGTTGATATCGAAAATCGAAAATTTTACGAAATATTTCTTATAACAGGTATTTGTCAAGTAATCTTCTTGGCAATCTGTTTATTTTGTAGACCTTTAATACTTACATTTTTAATGGCAACCGGTGGAGATTGCCATAGATTCGTTCTTTAACTGTTGCATTGAACAATATGATTACGTGGTTCAAAATTAATAATAGCCTCACTTTTCTACAAGTCTTTTAGTAATATTACGAATGTATTTTTAACAAAATTAACGTTATTTATCAAAGCTAAACTTATTCAAAAGTTAGTTAATTGCAGTTCTCCTTGAGTGGCCTTTAGCGGACTCTAGGGAGCGATGAACCTTTGATCACATCTTAGGAGAAAAATATATTAAAATTGTAAATTTCATCGAGTATTGTAGGGGATTTTATTAAACTTTTGAAATTCGCTATTTAAAATTCGTATTTTTTCCAACCCTAATTCTAGATTGTAATGAAACACAAACTCATCATGAAATATTTCAAGTAAAATATTCGCTAGAAAGCAATAGTTCAAAAAACATGATCTTAAGGTGAATGTGTAAGGGTGTTTGTAAATATTTTTGTCATATACTATTTAAAATTTCAACAACACTCTTAAGTAAGTTTCTTGCATTAGAAAGCTCAATTTCATTAAGAAAATATGAACATTAATTTAACTGCACCGTAAAACTCTGAATGGCTACGGTGGATACCCCTTTGTTAAAAATGTTTACAATTTTAATTGTTTAACTTAAGTCATTGCCTCGTTACCAATGCCGAAATTTGCAAGACCAAGTTTTTTATTATACCTTCTCAAACAACTCTTTCCTAATAAGATACACTTTACTAACGCACAGATGGCGCGCTTAACTTTGAAGTAAGTAAGGACACACTTTCCTTACACACAAAAACTATTTTTTGCATATGTGTATTTGATTTTGTGGTAAAAAAACGTCGAAACAACTATTGTGTTTAACCAGACTCCTAATTATTGTACGTTGTACCGCGAGCATACAAATTAAGTGCTCGCTGGTTATTTTGCCTAGTTTTGACAATAAACTTACCTGTCATATTATCTAATTCTTCACTTATTTTCTGCCAGGCGTTGTTCTTCTTCTTGGTACTATGATAAATGTTATCACTTACTTTGTAAAGAAAGGGATATGCTTGTAAAGAAGGGGGGTGCAGGGAGCTGCTTCAATCAAAAGTTCGTCTAAATTCATATCACACACGTAGCTAATCAGTGACTATACTAAGCTGGTGCACGAAAACTGGAGAAACATTGGATTCGTCGCCCATCGACGAAGCCTCAGAGAGCAATGACGTCGGACAAAACAAAAAAATCTTAAATCTAAAAATTAAAGTTTTTAAGAAGATAAACATAAATCTAAATACCGTACAGCATTAGTTTTCCAGTTTGGCAACAATCTCAGCAGCAGTTGTGTGTAGGAAATTCAAAGCCACGTTCACAGTGCAAGATGACACCTTATGTTGCAATACAGGGTGTCACAAAAAAGTGTGATGGGCTGTACAGGACCTAATTCTACATGCAAAAATAAGTCAAAAATGAAGAATAATTTTTTTTTGATTTCGGCTTAGTTTAGCCGTAATCCGCCATTTTGTTTTTTGGGGAAAATATTTATTATTTCAAAATCCCGTTGAGATATTTTTACGAAACTTGGCAAAATTGTTTACACTATAGTAACATTTATAAAAAAAATTATTATTTTAACTTTCCAAATTTCAAAATTGCGGCCGTTTGAATTTTTTAATGCCAAATTTCATGAAAACCGGTACCTAAACCAAAATTTTGTAAGACACAAAAGTTTTAGTATTTATTATGACAAATCCAACAAAACAAAAATGAATAAAATCGGTTCATAAAAAGAAGCTGTGTTTATTTTAGTAATTTAGACTGAAATTACTTAATACGTTACATAAACTATTACATTACATTTAATACATTTTAATATTAATAATTTCAGTCTAAATTACTAAAATAAACACAGCTTCTTTATTTATGAACCGATTTTATTCATTTTGTTTTGTTGGATTTGTCATAATAAATACTAAAACTTTTGTGTCTTACAAAATTTTGATTTAGGTACCGGTTGAAATGTGGCATTAAAAAATTCAAACGGCCGCCATTTTGAAATTTGGAAAGTTAAAATAATATTTTTTTTATAAATGTTACTATAGTGTAAACAATTTTGCCAAGTTTCGTAAAAATATCTCAACGGGATTTTGAAATAATAAATATTTTCCCCAAAAAACAAAATGGCGGATTACGGCTAAACTAAGCCGAAATCCAAAAAAATTATTCTTCATTTTTGACTTATTTTTGCATGTAGAATTAAGTCCTGTACAGCCCATCACACTTTTTTGTGACACCCTGTATATAACATATGTTATATATTAATTATTCATTTGCACACTCATAAGACATCTTCTACTATAGGCAGATCTAGGCTCTAAAATGTGGGGGGTTAAGCCAGGCTGCCAGGGGGTCTGGGGGTATGGAATACCCCTCAGTGTGGAGGGGGGCCGGGGGTTAACATATAAGCTAATAAGACGTATTTTAGGCTATTTGGAAATCAACATAAAAGGAATTACATGATTCAGTGAACACGGTGAACATACTTGAAGCACCTTGTATTCGCTAATTTACTAATTCCATGTAAGAATTTCACCCTTACACATTATGGAAAATACACACATTATGGAAAGCTGACATAAGGTAAAAGAAAGGAACAGACCTAGGATCCTAAATGAATTGCTAGTTTGTAGCATATAACTCAGATCTTCTCACAGACGAAGTCAAGAACTTGACTTTGTCTATTGAGAGCTCCAAAACCTTTTTGGCAAAAGGGCCACCTAACCCCCCCATTGGGGCTTTTATTTTTTTTTTATTGGGGGCTTTTTTGGGGGGTGGGGGGTTAAGGTTCAATAGAGCCCTAGGCAACCTCAAATGCAGCTCCCCCCTTTTTCCTAGTGCGGGCGATTGATGGACGTACAGTGCCCGCCAGGCGCCCCTCGACCACCAGCGCCCCTGGGCATATGCCCAGTCTGCCTGTTTATAAAAGCAGGCCTGTAAAGGCAATGGTAAGACGTTATTTTTCATCACATCAAAAGCTAAAATTTAGGGTGCACCCTAAATTTTAGCTTCTAGTTTATTTCTATTTAAAAATTCAAGACTAATTCCAGACTTTTTAAGACTAATGCCAAATTTTTCAAGACTGCATTTTTCAACAATTAGTGATGTGTTGATACCAATATGTAGCGATTCTCAATTCTTGATACCAATGCCAATTGTTCATAGTTTAACCAAGTTTTGAATTCCACACCAAACTCTGTCTTTATGTCATAAAGTATTAATATGTAAAGGGGTGTTTTTCAAGTAAAGAAACAAATGCAGCAATACAAAATTCTAGCTAGCCAATTTGGATTTTTTGCATAATGAAAATCTTCCATCATGGCCAAGTAGACATCATGATTAACTGCCTCGGACGTCATCGTCGCCGTTCGCGATCGCGGCAAAATTATGATCATTTTCAGCGGCCGTAAGAATCACCATTGACACCCGCAGCCAAAGAAACGTCATCGGCGTCGTCTGTGATGATCGCGGCAAAATCATAAAAATTCCCGACTTTCATATCAAAATAAAGACTAAATCCCGACTTTTCAAGACCAATTTGAAATTCAATACTAATTCCCGACTCTCCCGTTTTTCCCGACTACTAGACACCCTATAAAAATAATAAGTTTTGTTTTAAAAAATCAAACTTTGAGGTTCCTATTAATTTCTTAAAATTTTTTAACTTAACCAAAAATAATGTAAATCCTCATATCTAGAGGGCTAAGCCCCCCCCCAAGCCCTCTCCTTTGTTCTACTGTCCCTGTGTGTAGTAAAAACCAGTAGGCCTAGTTGTATACGTTCAATGTGATTGAAACTTAGTTGAGACTTTCAGTCTGACTACTAGTTTTTTATCAAAACTATTTTGATAATATAAAAAAATTCTAGTTTTAAAACAGAGATAAGAAAATTTTGAAAAAACATGCCTCAAAAATCACAAATAAAATCCTTGGTATCCTTCGTAGAAAAAATTTGTCCAACCCCCTTTCATAAGAATAGTTTGTTTGAAAGTCAATTATGATACAACGGGGTCAATTCTACAATGCGCTACCAGGACTTACCTGGAGACCCGTATAAATTTTTTTGTTATGAAAAACCTACTACTGCGTCAGGCATTTGTTTACATCTATACATTGTAAATATGCAAATTTAAACTATGATGAATGTGGAAAACTTTTGTAAACGTTATTTCTAAGTTTAGTAGCATTAGTATAAACAAGAGCGTATTTGTTGTTTCACAGTAAAATTTTTATTAGGTTTAGGTTTGCATACTACTACTACCATATGCATACATTTTAACATACATATATTTCTGATAAAAATATATTTGATTTGATTTGGAATTTCTTCATCCCTTATTTCAGGAGTTCTCCTCGCCTGCCAGGCGGCTTTGGCTGGTCCCACCGCCAACCCTGGCCCTAACTATGGAGGAGGCTGGGGAGGCTATGGAGGCTACGGATACGGAGGATATGGAGTTGCTGAAGTGATCGCCGAGCCTGTTATCCCCCTGGGCGGCGGAGTCGTGGATGTCCGCGGATACGTCGACAGCTACTTCCCCGGCAGCAGCTACGAGGGTTTCGGCACCTACGGACCCGCCTACGGTGGTCTCGGCTACCCTCTTGAGGTATACGGAATCGCACCCTACGGTTACGGTGGTGTCTACGGTGGAGGCTACGGTGGATGGTAGTTAATTGTTTTGTAAGTTATGTAAATAAATATTTTTTTAAACTAATTGACCGTATTCTTAATTTGTAAGCGTTTTATCAGTAGAATCCCTTTTCAAACTTATGTAGCAGGAGGGGCAAATGGTGAGTAAAAAGGTGATATCCTCTATGCCTTCGTACCCTAACATTTGTTTCTAAAGTGTGCGTCCAAAGGTCCAGGTGCTGTTGGTGAACTTTCTTCAAAATTATTTGGAACATGGGTGAAAATTTAACAGCGGATTACCTTTTGTTTATTTGTTAAATGATGGCAGATTGTAAACAAGAGACAAACAGATGAAAACGGAATACTTCAGGGGAAATCAGGGTACTCGTATTGATAACTCTCTAGACTTGGATTAATCAAGTATATCACTTTTAATGGTATAGATCTACAATCAAAATATTTTAGGTATTGAAAATCATAATTCATACAATAACTGTCTCAAATATTTTATTTATATAATGATTTAGGTTTTTAATTGTTTATTTTTCGTATACAATGTAGTTTATAAAAGGTTAAAGGGTACTACATTGTGCATCGAAAACTAATTTTGAACCCTCTTAAAATGCGCAATTGGCACACGGGGCCCCTCCTTTTCACTATTTTGCTATAACCATTGACTTGAGTGGGTTTGCTCTGTGGTCTATACCCATTATTTAAAAAATTTGAGTAGTTGACTATTTTATTTTCAAAAGGATGTTACTATGCTTGGCCTTGACACGGTTAAAGTAAGCTACAAAAGGAAAGCAAACACTTAAAGTTATATATTTAAAACTAATCTTAGCCATACACTGTCTATGAAATATCTATATGTTTTTTTACGGCAGTCATTCTGAATACAAATTACTTTATATTTGATTTTCCCTACTCTTTGACTGGGTTGACTAACTTTTAGTCGATGCTCGGAGTTGACGAGACTTATGTACACAAAAAATTATCTATTCTTTAAACTTCAGCAAAAACGGTTCTTTACAAAACATGAGTTGCAGTAACAATGTTGTTCTTTGTATTCCTGGGCAAAAAAAAAATCAGCTGCAATCAAAAGAATCAACTTATGTATTTATTTATTGCCAAAGGATGTACACCAATTTAACAGTTGAATTACATATTGTGAGTCGCTCATCGAGACTAAGTGGCCTAATATATGATAAAACCAAGAATAAATACTAACTAAACACAGCTAAAATAACAAACAACACAATAAAGTATAGTACATGCAAATACTTGGACAATTACAGAGCTAAGAGAAATGAATAATATAAAGATATAATTGAATAAATCAATACATTATAGTTTAAGTCTAGAAAATATGTACATAACATATAAGACTAGGCGTATAAGACTAACCTAGAATAGATAAAAATAAATAATACAATTGATAAAACGCGTTGCTTTATGGAAAGTTTGTCTGTTAAATTATCACATTATCCAATCTGTTATTAGTGGTCAACTACACTTTAGAACTACGTTTAATAATGATCCTCCTAGTAGCCACTCAATTGGAAAGTGGTGCTTGTATTTTAAGAGAAATGACTGCATTTGAATGTTACTTGTAGTAGGGCTGAACTTAACAATGTGCTGCCTGTGAAATAAATCGAGCGCGTTGGTCCGAATATTGACACACTTATGAACTGGCCTACAAGATCTCCGGATATCACCTCCTGTGATTTTTTTCTAAGATAAGGTTTACACACCACCATTACCAGAAATGATATCATACCTGAGATCCAGCAACGGATTACCAATGCTATCAAAACAATAGCTCAAGACAGTCTTTTCAAAGTATGGCAAGAGCTTGACTACATGATTGACATCTGTCGTATCACAAGGGGTTCCCATAACGAACATTTACAGTTCTGTATATCTGTGTCAAAACCTTTGGAGTTTTTTATAAGCTGTAACCAATTTATTTCTTTGTACAACAAATGAAACAAATGAAACCCTGTGTTTTGCCTTCTTTAACGCAATATGAGTTAAACATTTCTGTGATTAAATTTTAATTTCAGAAGACAGAAAATTTTTTACGAAGAAAAATAATATTTGTGGACAGTGTATTGTTGTAAACAGTAAACGTGCAGCTTGACAGCGTCTGTTTGTTGTTCTTCCGGATCAGACTCTATCTTAACACGCTCCTTATTTTTTTTATTGTGTTTAACTCTGTCTTAAGTGATTGTGAACGAAATTTTATAATTTGATGCTCAAGTAAATCGATACAGTTTTTTATGCACTTTTTCATAAATCTTATGGAAAAAATATAACGTCGAGAAGAAATACCGTGGGAAGGAACAACTGCTTCAAATAAGATTCAAAGTGCTGTAAAATGGATGTAATTTGGATATACAACAATAAACTAGATAATTAAGTAAAGCTTGACTCAGATGATTTAGATTATACAAATACACTTATTTTATACAAAACTGTTGAAGCTCTCCCTTTCTAAGCCTCGAAGTTTAAAATTCTTGTTCTAAAATCAGATAAGTTTAAAGATATTTATAAATCTGTATTTTTTTGGGAGCTCCAAGTAACAATGCAGCACTATGATCAATTTAACCTAAATACCTTGTATAAATGGCAGAATTATTAGAACCCGGCCATACAGGTCAAATGGTTTCATTCTTTCTACTGTAGCCTACTATTGCGTTATTTATCAAACAAATTTTAAAAAATGTATCCTACTGCAATGTATATTGGTAATATATTTTACTTTTTTTCATTGTATAGCGTAAGCTCAGCGTTGTTCTTTTTATTTTGGAAAATGTATAAGAGATGACAGTCACCAAGTATGACATAACTGTGCAGTTATAAGGTTTGTGTTTGATTTTCTAAAGTTTGATACAAGACCCAACTTGATCTTTGGGCATCATAAATTATAGATTCTAGATAAACCATGGGCTCCAATTTATTCACGCAACATCCATCCTTCTTGTCTGCGTTGATAAAATGTCAACTAAAAATCTAATGTTTAATTGTTTAAACAATTTGTACGCAAACATCTATATTCTATCAACATACTTGCCAACAACATGTGCTAACCCTAATGTCCTCAGAACCTCAGCTTTAGCGCTCAGTGTGACGGCTGCGGAGTACGTTGCACCAGTATGGAATGCATCGTCACATGCAAAAAAGGTTGACACTGCAGTCAATGACATGGCTCGGATTGTAACTGGGTGTTTGAAACCAACCCCAGTACACAAACCTATCCTATCATAGGGATCACCCCTCCATCAATCCGACGTGATGTCGCTGCCGACGCAGAAAGGACTAAGCAAGAGACAGACCCTCGTCACCCATTACACGGCCACCAACCTGCAGAGCGACGGCTTCGGTCCAGAAAGAGCTTTTTATCACGGACACGAGTCCTGGATGGATCACTCTCAATCAATCGGGTGGCAAGGTGGGAGGCCACTAACCCTCCCATACCAGCCAGGGAGGATGTGGCTCCTAGTGGTGTCGTGCATTACACGGTGTGGAAGACCCTAAATCGAAACAGTGTTGAAGTACCAAAATGCAAGACAAACATGCAGAAATGGGGTCTCTTACCAGTAAAACATCTTGTGTGCGTGTGGTGCTGTTCAGGATCCTGGCCATCTGCTGATCTGTCCACGCCTAGACCAGTCTTGCACATTAGATGATCTTTTACAAGCGAATGACAAAGCCATATCGGTGGCTAATTTACGGAAAAGCGAAGTCTGATTTCCGGAAACGGAAAGTAAGAGGGTAAGTAACATACTTAATACAACTCTCTGTAACATCCTACAATCTACATACCCTCTTTTTATGAACAGGATTTCATTTTAAAGATTACGTTCTAAATCAGGTATGAGTGTAATAGGTATTTTTCTTTAAGGCTTTGACAAACTAGTTTTTAACTTATTTCTAGATGGTACTTTCAAAGGCTCCTTGTTGCCAACCAACTCTCTTAATGCGAATCTTCAATAAGAACTGTTAACATTGGTTTCAATAAAATTTAAAATGGAAACTGTACCAATATTTAAATGTTTATTTTTATTTTGTCCAGCTATGCATCGTCAGACACATCAGAAAAACTGAAGGTTATGTTTACAATAATATATTTTAAAAATATCAAACATCGGTAGTTAAATATAAAAAAAATATTTTGTCACGGACATTTGGTAAAATACTAAACAATAACATTATACATGTTGGAAAATAAAATCTGAAGTTTAACTTATAACTTTATAATTATTGAGTTTTGTAATGTTGCATTTTGAATTGGACCATTATCATCATTTAATATATGCCAATTTTATTTATGAATAATTATTTCCATGCTTTGAGCTCGTTGGGTTTGGTTACATTTTTCGGTAATTTTGTATTTTTAAGTTAATTTTAGTAAATATTTAATGTTACTAAATTCAAAAATTTACAAAGCTATAACCTAAACCTACTTCAGATTTTATTTATATACATGTATAATTTCATTTTTTTAAATTTACCTAAATGTACTTGACAATAATGTTTCATACTTAAATACCCATATGTTTGATATTTTCAAAATGAACAAAAGGCTTAGCTAGCAAAAGGCCTCCAAAAATAAAAATTTCTAAAATATATTTTGCAGTTTTCATTTTAAATTTTACCTTATAAGTTTTAAAATGTAAACTATGATTGGCCAGCTGATCCTTCAGTTCAATTTTTACCACAGTCAGATCGCAAACATGATACGAAACCACATATGAAAAAATTGATTTAGTTTGGTTACTTTTATTTTTACTCGTAACTTGATTGAGGTGAGTAAATCACTCTTTATGGATTGGATCTACACATCTCACATGTCTTAGATCTGACATATTTAAAGTCAGAGTTTTTATTCATCTAATAATTATCTGAAAAAAATATATTATTGTATTTTCATAAGGTGGTGTTTTCTTGATTGCACATTTTTCAGGTGTAAAGTAATCTTGCAAGGTAAAGGGGTATTGCATTTTTCGATTCGCCTTAAAATAGAATTTTTAATGTGAAACTTGCTGACCAACCCACTCGTGTATGCAAACATATTATCAAGAAAGAAAATTGTATGGGAAATAAAAAAACTATATGGTTTTTTATTTTTTTTATTAAACTAACATTTACCATCCTCCGTATCCTCCGTATCCGTATCCAGGGCCACCGTATCCGTAACCTCCCAGGATTCCACCGAAGTACTCTGGGTATCCACCCAGACCGAAAGCCTCGTAGCCGACGGCGGGGTAGACGTACTCTACTGGGGGTGCGGGGATGACTCCCAGGGTAGCGATGTCGTACACATCAACAGTGTTGAGAACGGGAGGGATGACAGGGGGAGTGATCACTTCCTCGACCAGACCAATGCCATATCCTCCATAGCCTCCATATCCTCCATAACCTCCATAGCCGCCGCCGCCGTGGAATGGAGCGGGGTTAGGACCGGGAGCGGGTCCCGGGGCCGGGCCTGGCTTGGGGCCTGGGTAGGGGAAGCCCAGAGCGACCCCACAGAGAAGCAGAACTCCTGTAAATACATGTCCTTGTAAAGTTTTCACAGTTTATCATCCAATGATTTACTTTATCTTTTGTCGTAGTTTAACGATTTAGCTTATAGATCACGTGTCAGTAAATTTAAGGTTAAGCAATGTTGATTGATCCTGATTGTGAATTATGGGATCAAGGTTTCGAGCCAAATGGCTCATTTTCAATTAAAATATACCTATTCATTTTTGAGCTGCAAATAGTCGTTATGAACACACACAAACACACGGACCCGAAAATATGTACCATTTGTGAGTGTGTCATAACACAGCGTCTGCCTGGTACACCACGTCTTCGTATCATTGTTAACTTAGTTTGGCAAAATTATTATAAATTAAAATAATTTATAAATTATAAATTACTATTATTATAAAATAAAATTATTCTAAAATATTATGATTTAATTAAAATTAAATGTGCCCGTGTCCGTGTGTTAATGTGCTCATCACGACTCTAAGCAGCATAGGAATGAAGAGGAGTGTATTTTACTACCTGATTTATACTTGAAAGTTTGCCAGTATACTTGAAAACGTATACTAGAATGTATATTTAAATATACATTCTAGGGCTGAAAAGTAACTTGCACCCCCCTTAACTTTTCAACCATTTGAGATATTTGAAATCTGTTTGCGGCAACCTTCTTAGATATGAGGGGCTACAATAATTATGGTCAATTTTGTAAATTTTGCCCTTAGGGGTAGTGGGGGTAGGTATCTCAAAATTTTCAAATAAACAGTATAGTCGAGTTGGCTATCATTTTACAGGTCTTGACAAAACATAAAAATTGACATAAAGAAAACCAAAATCGAGCCACTAATAACAAAATGGCGCCCTAAAGCGTTTCAAATCCTAATAACCATGAGGATGGCAAAAAAATTACTTCCACCCCCTTCAACTTTTTAACTATTTGAGATATTTGTAATCGGTTTTCTGCAACTTGTTTGGATATAAAAGGCCACAATAGTTATGGTCAATTTTGAAAATTTTGCCCTTAGGGGTAGCGGGGGTAGGGGGTAACTCAAAATTTTCAAATAGCAACTGTAGTCGAGTTTGGTATCATTTTGTAGGTCTTAACGAAACATAACAATTAACATAAAGAAAATAGAAATCGGACCATTAATTAACAAAATGGCAGTTCAAAATTACTTTTAATAACCATTGTCTTAAACATTTTTAGCTGCCATTTTGTTATTAATGGTCCGTTTTCTATTTTCTTTATGTTAATTGTTATGTTTTGTCAAGACCTGTAAAATGATACCAAACTCGACTATACTTGTCATTTGAACATTTTGAGCTACCCCCTACCCCCACTACCCCTAAGGGCAAAATTTTCAAAATTGACCATAATTATTGTAGCCCCTCATATCGAAGAAGGTTGCCACAAACAGATTTCAAATATCTCAAATGGTTGAAAAGTTTAGAGGGGGTGCAAGTTACTTTTCAGCCACCCTGTATATTGAATAATAATATTAATATATAATGAAATATATGTTCCCTATTGTTAGGTCGTCCAAGGTGAATGCTAGTTAGGTTAGGGAAGTTATCATAAGCTTAGGCTTATTTAGGATAGCATAGTTACGTTAACGTAGGCTGAATTAAGATCATAGGAGTTAAGTTAGACAAGATAATCAAAGAACAAGTTACATCCAAGCAAGATTAGGTTTTTTGGATCAATCCTGGTTTGGTTACCCCCCAATTCAGTTGCATAAATTTTGATATAAAAACCTTCGGTATCAAACAACTTACGCCAAACTATTTTTCCTACAGTTACCTAACAATGTACATGTTCTCTCACTGATTTGAGAAAGCAAAGTGGCCAATTCGCTCATCAGTGAGACAATGTTAACATTGTCTCACTCTAATTACTTTGTCTCACTCCAGATTTGCAACGTGAAGGCACGGAATAGTGAGCGCGTAACATGCAGGCAACGTCGTATGCGCGCGTAATACGTTGGCAGCACTGGCTGTAAATCAGCTGGTCAGCTGTTGTACTGTTGTATTTGTAACTTCACATTAAATGTTATATTAAAAGTTCACTTCTGTGAAAAATAAGGTTATGTTTCTTCACAAATTTATTTGTTTTATGGTAACTGTAGGAAAAGTATAATGTGCAACTCGAGTGCAAAGTACAATTGCCTCACTCGAGAAACCATTCCTCACTCGCCTACGGCTCGTGAGTAAGGGTTTCTCTCGAGTGAGTCAATTGCTCACTTTTCTCACTAGTTGCACAAATAACTATTATTTTACATTTCTCACTGTTTCTTTGATTAAAAAATGTTTAACCATTTATAACTCATAAGCCAAGAAATTCTGTCCTGGCTAAATACACACTACTTTTACAATGAAAAAAACAAATGTAAAATGTATATTGTAATTATTCTGTTGTAATTTGTTTGTATATACTTATGTAAATATATTAGGATAGTTTAGATTTAGTGACTTGAGTTAGTTTGAAAACCATGTATTATGAAACTCGCTCGTAAATAAAGGCCTTTTTATTTATTATTTATTTATTTATTTACTTGTTATTATAGATTAAACAGTGTAATGTAATTATATCATTCTCGGGTTATGATATAATTGAACTTAAAAAATCAGCTCAAAATTCATTTAAATCTGAGTAAAATATATTTTACTAATCATAGCTTGAAATTAATATTATAGTAATTACCTATGAGTTAACTATGATTAAAGTCGTTGCTGCTGCAATACTACAGCTACTACACTGTGATTAATTCCCTAATTCTTAATTCTTAATTCTTTTTAAACCCCATTCTTACAGGGGATTTAAATTTGGGTATAACTAATTTGTAGATTATTAAGATCATTCTCAGAAGTGTAGCGTGTACATTTCTAAAGGATTTGTCAACGAGTGTTTGTGCTTTAAGGAATCATTATTGTTTTCTTACACAACATTTTCTGATCTCGGTAAATTAATTGTTTTAATGTTGAATTCTACTTATAATCTCACGTTATTTTCAATATTAATCCAAGCTGATCTCCGTGCCATCTTTTTCAACATCAACTATGATCAGCTGTAGCAATTATAATTTAAAAGACTCGTCTTACCAAGGCATAACATAAAACTTATAAAGCTACTACAGGTTTATAGTTGTGCTGTAGGTAAATGTTAAGAAAACACCCGCATGGAGAAAAAAACTTAATTCCCTAAAGAAACAAAGGTTCTTAAATGATATACAGAAATAGTTACAATTAAAAGAATTTATGTAGGCCTGATTGGCGGATCAAACGATAACATATGTTGGACTTTGTGAATAAAATATTTACAGTTGATTATTGTTTGTTGAAATTCAGACAGTTTTTAACACTAAGCTCAACCAAGCGTCATAATTATGATGACATTTAGTAAATTTTTGATATGGATGGGAATTAATGGCAACCACAACTCAAGTATTAATATAAATAAGAGTGATTGGCTATAAATTTAATCACTTCATAATAAATACTTTTTTTAAGTTTTTGTTTATTTAAATTTTTTCTACATTCACTTTTTTGTTGAAAGTTTGGTTCCGTAAACATTATACTAAACAGTGAAATTAACATGTTTTTCTGTTGTTCTAGTTTTCAAATTTATGTTATCCATCCATTTGTATTATCTTACAATAAAATATCTTGAACAAAGTTTATTTTAATTATTTTTCTGTGTGTACGAGTCGACTGTCAGATGATGTGTACTGAATGTATTTTGAATTTGAACATATAGAAGGCCTATACTGTATAAAAAATAAGAATAGTTTTAAGCTATAATCATGTTTAGGCTATAAAAGGGGATTTTTTTAAATACCGTTCCAAATTGCCATCAATTTGTTTGTTATTAGTTGGAACGTCAACTTTTAGGAGAGAACATAATTTAATAGAAGAATTGTCATGTAAATAGAGTATACACCAACTAACAAAGATAGCTTGCTTGTAAAAAATAAAGTAAGACAATTGGGAAACCAATTTTTGCAAAATTCTTTTCAATATTCAAACGAAATCACACATAATTTATCTAACTAAATGGTTCCCTAGTTTATGTGTTATTTATATACCTAAAATAGAATAGTAATTTTAATTTTCCTCTCTTTTTCATAAAAATCAACGAACTCGTGTATTAATTTTTCATAAATTTGCTAAGCTTTGAGAATTGCAGTTTAAGAAATGTGCGTGATAAAACGTTTTGAATTTCATCTAGCCTCAGTTACTTAGTACTGTATATATTACCTAAAACGAGTTTTTTTTTTTAATTAAATGTACAAAAAGTGATGAGTTCATTGAATCTTAGCTTTAAAATCAATAGCTTAAACCAAACTTTGGTTTTACATTACTACATTACGAAATAAAAACTAACATTATAATCATTTATGACTCCTTGAGGCGTTAAGGTTATATACATATTCATTTGAACTAAAATATTGTTTTTATAAATATCAATCAAATATAATTTTTTCTTCATAAATTATCTTTACTCATGATTTGGTTTAATTACTTAACTGTTCAGTTTTATTTAACATTATTGAAATTGATTTTTCTAACATTCTAATTATAATTACTGTTTACACTATTTAAATCACATAATTTCTTATCGATCTTGATAAGACTGCATGAAATGTGCCAAAAACAATTAATAAAAAACAAAGGACATACCTATCGACTTGGCGATCATTTTCTTTTGATATTCCCGGCACCAATGTTGTACAAGGAGTATAGATTTACTACCTTCCCCTTCTTCTTTTGTTCGATATCTCTTATCACTGAAGGATATAGAGGGGTATCGTAAAATGTGTTTATAAAAGAAACTTCGACATGACATTTGTATGGCTTGCTGTTTGCTCTTTCTCCATTATTGAACTCGATTCGCAGAGAATTGTTGTCAGGGTTTAATCATTTCTGAAATTTCATAGTATAGTGAATTATCAACATATTTATGATAAAAAAGAGTAATTAAACTCTACATTTAAGTTTTGTTTTTAATGGATTATATTAATACAAGGTTGTTTTGAGATAACGAATTTGATCATGAGTAACACAGAACCAACGTAACTCCATTTTATGTTTTATACGTTTATAAATTTTGTACATGTTTTTTAGCTTTAACATAAATTATAATACACAGAATATGAGTGTAATTGTATCTCAAACATACTCCGAATATATTCTCTAAAACTATGAGTTCAAACAAAAGGTATGGTCTACTTTATATGGAAGGATAAGCCAACACAATGCTCATCTTATGCATACTAATTATACATATGTATGAGCTTTTATACGTATGGATGTTTGAATGTTTTTGAAATGGTCTTGAATATGTATTTTTTAAGAGGAATATAGATTGTAATTTAATAAATTAATATGGGTAAAAAATAGTTGTATGTGCAAAATATATATCATAATTTTGTTTCTAAATATTTGTACTTGTGTTTTGGTAAGTTGCATAAGGCCATGCATTATATTTAAAAATCTCAATATTGTTTTATATAAGGTGTATAAATTTACTATCAACTAATCTATAAAAACAAGGGTAGAGCTATACAAGTTTACGAATTCAAAGTAAATGAATATTTTAATTATTTAGAACATATGCAATAATTGTTTTTATCATCTACAAATAGCTTATTGGGCAGTGTATAAGGAAATAATACTTTCCAGCTAAACAATTCTCTTTTATTTTAAAAAAATATATAAAATTAAAATCTACACAACAGTAACCACTCTTGAAAACAAATCACCCTGTACTGCTTTCAATCATGAAAGTGTTCTTGGCGAAAATATAATACACTCCGGACACTATAGTAGTTGCTGCCGTCAACGCCCACATGACGATCAAGAAGTCCTTATCCCATCCAGTCTCCAGCACGGCATCAGTCAAGGTCAGCACGGCTGTTATCAGTTGCACGGCGGTGTTGACCTTGCTGATAACAGTGGGAGAGAGCTGCACCGTCTGTGAGAAGTCCAGAAGTCGCTCGAATGTTCTGGGTGGCGGTAGAGAAGTTATTCTCACAACAACGCAGGTTACTACCAGTAGAACATCTCTGGTGACCACTAGAGCGGTCAAGGCCACTGGGATGAGTCCGACAATACTCAAGGTCACGAACAAAGTCGTTATCAGTACCTTATCAGCCACAGGGTCTAGTATACTTCCTAGTCGCGACGCCTGACTAGGGAATGCTCTTGCTATGCAGCCGTCCAGGAAGTCAGTGACTCCTGCGATGCACAGGATGACCAGAGCAGCTGGGAACTCTTCTTGTATGACGAGGTAGGCTATGCAGGGCGACAACAGGAGTCTGATGGTGCTGAAGAGGTTGGGGACCGTCCAGATGTTTTCTCGCTCTGTCTCCATGGGTGCGCCTGGTCGTGGGCGCGGGATCGTGAACCTGACTTCCATGTTGATATCAGTGTTTGTTACGTTATCAACGTAGCGTTCCGCGCCAATACTGGGTTTGAAATTGAGTGGTTGAAAAAACTACCAGAAAAGGGTGATAGGTATGGTAAACAAAGTGTTTTTAGTTCTGTTCAGTAGATTTTACAAATTATTAAATTCTAAAATATCTTTATACAATAAATAAAATGTATAGTGGAGTACAAACAAACATATAACATGTAAAACACGTATTTTTCTTCCGTATGACCGACAAATCTATGCGGGGAAAAGAGCCTATTCGACTCCTACATCCATCAAATTCAAACATAAATGTATAATCAAAAGGAGTTTTGTAATTAATAATACACAATTTTTAAACATATCAAAACACATTGAAAAAACAGAAAAAGTCACAGAATTAACAAAAATGCAATGACTTGGAAAATCTAGAAAGCGTCCACAAGAAAAATTACGCTACACAATGTTGGCAATGGTACAGGTTTTTGTAACACTATACTCGGTTCACAACATGTTAGTGGTTGTATTAGAAGCAATTACGTCCCCTTGATTTATCCCTACCTTTCAAACAACAGTTGGACAGCTGTCAATTAGGTCAATCAGCTGTAACATACATTAAGAAAAAGGTTGTGGGGGACCCAGAAAAACTTCCCCTCAAACCGTCAAAATCTTTTCAACGGACTATATTTGAAACTAATTAGTTTAACTAATTAGGTATCGCTAATGTTTACTATTAAATATGTTAAATTATAACTGCCAGTAAAATAATAATGGAAAGTGAATTTGCATGTATCGTATTACTTTAATAATCAGCTGTTAAATTTTATCATTGTTATTGCTTCTTTTTTTCAAAATGTTGGTTTTAACTTATCATGTGTGTAAATTTATATTTTAAACCACACAACTGGGGGTTGTGGGAAGAATGACTACTATATGTCAAAGCACAAAACAATTTTTTTTTTCATAATAATCTACTAATAAATGCCGTAGAACAAATTCAAATACTTTTAGATGTTTTCTTCAGTAAAACAATAAATCATTTCCTTTCTTGAAACAAACTGTTCTTTTTTACGTTCTTTTAAAATCAAACATCCCCTAATTGTTCTTGTGGTGTGAAGCAGCGTAGAGATTAATTAAGAATATAATTATTAGTGGTGGAGTATCCAAAACATCGGCATATCCAAAATCATTATGCACAAAATAACATACACAAATTAGAAAATCCGTTAAGCCCTTTTAGAACTTCTGGTCCATTTACATTGTTATTTCCTAATTATTCATGTAACGTTTATGTAAAACTGATTTCGTATTATATAATATATATTTTAACTGCATAGCCAACTTGCCACTCACAAAATGTAATGATTGACTGCAAATACCACAAGTAGACATCTCTTCCATCGTTGTTATTTAGTGTTAGGTAAAGCCAAAATGCTTAGATGTTGGCTAAACATTTCTAATTAACTTTGGGATAGAACTTTGCTTGCTGTATCAGTGATATAGTAGTAGTATAATATGCCGTTATATTTTTTCGAATACAATTGAAGATGGTGAATAAATTAATGAAGAGAAAAGATTTAATGCAAATAAGCTTTACAGATTATTGTATAGAGTAACCCTGTTTTACAGTGGTAAGTATTTTCCTTGTTCCTTCCTTAAAATCGTATTCAATGCGTAACTAGATGAATTTTACTTCTAAATTTAATCAGTTGGTGATTGAAATAATGTTTGATTCAAACTACATTTTTCCACTTCAATTAAAAGTTCTTTACTTTAAGGTTTTATTTATTTATCATTTTAATAATTTCTGACGAATAAAATGTATGTTTGACTAAAGTTTGAGGTTTAGATATAAAATCTTAGAAAATATTTTGAAACCTTCATTTTTTTGTCTAAAATTTGTATCAAAGTCAAAAAACCTAAGATATATACTTAGTTTTCTTACAAGGTTCGGTATATTAAGGGGGTTTTCCTCCAAAATTGTGTTTTATTTTTCATAACTTTGCAAATACATAACTTTAAATAGTCATTTAACCTTCTTCCTTATTTCTTAGGGTTTAAAGCTTTCTTTTAATTATATAGTAGCCTACAGTATTTAATCGATTATTTTGAGCCTATACTATTATAATATATTCCCGTCGTACAACATGAAAAGAAAATGCTTCATTTAAAAACTAAATCCAGTTTATTTAAGTACTGACGTAGCCAAGACTAATCAAAAGAATGAGAAATCCATCAATTCGTATTTAAAAATGTATTCTCATCTGTAAACACGAAGAATAATTAAAGGAAATGACAAATATTCATATAGTTTTTACATGTTTTATTTCCTTTTGTTGATTGTCTTATTTTCATAGCATAAACTAACTTATATTGTATCACTTTTCTTGAGTATTTTAAAGCTTCTTACTGGCAAGTAGTCAAGGAACAGATGTTTCATGAAGAATATTCACTATAAATAAATAAAAATTTAATTCCACTTAATAGTTGTATAAAAGATGAATGTTGTGAGAAGAGAAAGGTGGTTCTTAACGTCCGTATGGGAAAGTGTTGCCATATCCTCCCTGGACCCTGGGGGCACCGTAGAATCCGCCGGCGTAGGGAACTGAAAATTGTAACAAAATATTAATATTCAAACATTTAGTAGACTGTAGGTAGAAAATAGAACGCATTTTAACCACAATTAATATACTTAACTCAACAATGTAGTAGGCGTTCAGCAAGAAATTGGGTTACCTTATAAATTTAAATCTTTTAAAATTCACAAGCCATATAAATTTCAGTTCATTTTGTTACGAAAATTCAAAAATGTATATTTTAGTGAAATTTTTACTCGACAAGAGAAAATCACCCTTTTCACAAGTTACATAAGTGTTACATAAATTTAAAGAAATATAAATTTAGTATTTTGTGTGTTATTTATAACAATAATTGAGCTATTCATTAATCAACAATTAATGCATACAACATTTAAATTGAGAACAGTCAATAAGTAACGATAGCTAACTATTCGTTCATTTTGTTTTAAGCTGTGTAATAATTTTCGAAACAACTTTATATATATGAATATTTGTAATTCTAATATTTTTATTTTTTTCTAAATTTATATCTGCACAAAAATAACGCTATGACTTTCATAAACAAATAATATTTTAATATTTATATTTTAAAAATAAAAGGCTTTTAGAAGTGTCTAGATAATCTCCATATCTTACATGTATTATTTAGGACCAAATAAGCAGTCTTGCCTTTCTTCTGTCATGTTAAACAACACATTGTGTGTATTTGTTGCATTCAAAAACGTACGTAAAAACAAGAAGCCAAACTATTTCTATTGCCGAATTAAATAATGATCTTACTATTTTCATCTCTTATTCGTATTTTTAATAATTTACATTTCACATACGTATGTGATTTTAAGGATTGTAAGATTGCAACGTAAGATAAATATTTCGTTTTTCTGAGTACATATTTTTTCAAGAAGGGCTTAATGGAATTTGAAAATAACTTCAAATAATTGTCCAACTAATTATTAAAAGTTATTTGGGTCCTATGTGGGATTATTTTTTTTATATTTTTATTTAACATATTTTTATTGTACTCACTGATGGGGTTGCAAGCACCATTCTCGCACTGAGAATCTCCACAGCAGCCGCAGAGACCAAGCCCGCAAGGCTGAAAATCAGACAAAATATGTAATGGGATATTCACAATATCTGGGTATTTTCCTAAAGCTTTTATTAACAACATCCCCTTATTCATAAGTTTTAAATTGAAAGATTGGGGAAGCCCTCATTAAAATTCTAGATTTCCAAAGTTGACTTGTTAGTGGCCATATTTTTGGACTCCTGAGAGCATCTCTGTTGAGGTTAAAAATCATTAATTGGAAAAGTTAAAACTTTTTAAGAAACATGGTATTTTATAAAGATGTACATTTTAAACACTGTTATTTATTTCGTCAGTACTAAGGTATTTGGTAGATAATACTGTTACTTGTAACATTGTTTACTAATCGAGGGATTAAGGTATTAGATATCTTCTTTTATCTCACTTGAACAGAAGGGAGATCATTCCGTAATGCCACCCAGCTTTCGCCTTCGGATGACGAAAAAACTTGAAATGTCTACACTATCTCAATAATCAAGCTATGTTAATGAGGCCCCTTTTTCTCCTTAAGCTTATTCGTATTAACTTTTATAACTGTTTAGTTAGAATAAATCACTATTATAATTATACGTTTATTTTGTAGTAGTGGTATTAACTAGGGAACATAAGAATCAAAGATGAACCTTTGAAATGAGCGCGTTAAGAGAAAAATTGGTTATATAAAAATCAAGGAGTAAAAGTAAAAGATATGTGGTAGGAAATAGTTTTAAATGCAAGAAGCTTTGTACAGGAAACGGGAAGAGGTCTGTTGACATCAGGAGGTAAATACAAAATAGAGCTGTAAAGAGGAAACGTGGTGTGGAGGGTACAATTTGTACCTCGAAACGAGGGGTAAAATAAGATAGAGAATATGATATGAAGAAGAAAACGAATAGTAGGATGGAATTACTGACAGGAAGTAAACAATTATGTGGATAATCTTACAAGAATGAGGAATGAATCTTTGATAGGAAGATGAATCAAAAAATAAAAAGAGGAAATTATCTGTCAATTTTAAGGGTGGAAGTGTTAAGTTAAAGGTATAAAACCGAAGAGAAGAAAATGTATGTAAATATTCTTACGAGAGAAAGGAAGGAAAGACGTTGAAGTTGGAAGAGCTTAAAGAGAATACACGAAATATTTTACGAGGTTAGGGAAGGAAGAATAAAGTTAAAGATTGAAGAAAATTATTCAAATATTAAAAGATATTTTCGCATTACGTGTTGGTTAGCTTACCTGTCCGACAGCACAGCAGCTGGGCTCAGGGAAGGCGTATGGCATGGGACCAGCGTATGGCATGGGGGCGGGTGCTGGGGCAGGGGCGGGGTAAGGCGCGGGGTAGGGTCCTGGGCCAGCTGATGGGTAAGGCACAGCCTGCGCAACCAGCAGGATGGCGGAGACCAGACCTAAACATAGAAAATGTCACTCAAACCAAGTTTTAACTACATTTTACTTTACATAACATTAACATCTAGGTGCACACCTGTATTTTTAAGCCATTTTAATGTGATGATACGTATTTCTATATCTTAGGATGGACCAATCCAGCGAACTGTGGTCGCTGGGACCAATCCTTCTAACAGACTGTTTTGGCAAATTCTCTCTATATTCTACTCAAATAAAAAATGAATAAATCTTACCAACTAAAAATGTTCTTAGTTACCTAAATATGGTCATAGAGCCCAAAGTTTGTTGAAAAATTTCTCCAAAATTTGATATTTTTGCTCAGTTGGATTAAACCAAGTGGTTAGTAATGTCTTTAGGTGTATAATGTATTAATCTTGCTAATCAATCTAATGAAAACTTTACATTTCAAATGTTGAGCAAGTTCAACTTTTTCTTACCAAAATACCTTGTACTTTCCACGAAATTTATTTTTCTGTGAAAGGTTTGTATGGAAATTTTTTTGAGTGTCATTACAAAATTAAATAAATTAAAGTCATACTTTATTGCACAGTTAAATTTTACTTGTAGGACTTTCATGGATCAAGAAATATGTATCTTTTGTTTTCATTATAAATATCAAATAATAATTTATCATACACACAGATTTTGTATGTACTGGTTTTTGTACTATCCTGTTTTATTATTAACTTCAATCGATTTCTTGGGCACAACAAAGTTGATCAACATATTTAAAAATGCATCCACATTTAATATAACTTTTTTACTATTCATTACGTTAAGCAGTCATCAAATATTTCTTTCTTTTTTAAAGCTGGCTGCTTCATCTGGCCGGTATTAGGGATTCTGTATTAGAACAAATTTTAAAATTTTGATTTTCGACGGTATATCACTATTTTATTATATAGTTATGCTCTCATTATATTTCTGGTTACTTTTAGGCTGCTTTCGCCATATTTTATCATTTATAAACGGCAACAACTGCAGTCATAATATATAGCTAAGGATCTTTTCAGACTGCAAAACTAATAAACTTATAAAACTGTACTTTTCTGGTTCTCGAACAAAAATATGATTTAATGCAATGCGTGTAATGTTTGATACATGTAGTTTATTGGATTATTTATGAAGACACTTCATTCACATTTCCTACTACATTTTATATAACATGATGAGGAAAAATGTTTAAGAAATGCTTTCCAATTTACGGCCCATTATTTTATTTACTGAGCTTTCTTGAAATTTTGACTTCATTGCATTTAATAAAGTACAAGATCCTACTTAACCATTTTGGGCTATACAATTCTCCTTTTCTAATACGTCAAAAGAGATACCACTTAAATATTATATTATTTAAATAGTACAAAATATTCATAATATTATTATTATTTTGTATTAAATTTTGTTTTATATCACGTATACTAATAAATTAAATACTATCAAAACATTTATGCAAACATATTTCCAGATTCCGAACTACGGATTGTATTTCAATTTTATACATAGCTTCCTATCAGGTTTCAGATACGTACTACGAATAATTTAGTCAAGTCTTTATCCCTCGGGCATGATATTTTATATTCATTTTATACTTCACAATTATATTCATTTTATTTTGCGGATGGAAGAATGATATATTTGTATTCTTAATATGAAGACAATATTTGGTTATTACACATAATTTTAATTATCTTAGAAAAAAAATCAAAAACATAGTTATCAACTGTGACAGAAAATTAAAAATCATTGTGAAACAGTTAATTTAGAGCATAAGCTAAAGGTAACCAAATACTTTTTATGCCAAGGGAAATGTGTATGTCTTATTATGTTTCAGTTTTTATTTTTATTTTCTGTATTATCCATTTTATCTTCATCCCACGATTAATTTCAACCTTGTTATTATAGATGAGATTATAATTATTTTTAATATGTGATAATCTTGAGATTTCAAGGTGGATTATTCAATGGGATAATCTTAATAATTATATCCTAAAAGTTATTATAATTATTTAAGATTATTATTACTATTACTCACCGACGGACAACAAGACCTTCATGACTGTAGCTGAGGACTGGAGAACTCGAACTGAAAAGCTCACAAATAGTTTTATAGTTGTTTATTCACTTTTATACGAGCTTTCCTTATCACCTGAATGTGTGCTTCTTCAGACCTGAATGTATTTGTTTTGTGCTCTGCGCTGTTGTTTTATCTATTCAACACCTTCCTTGATCGTAAATAATAAGTCAATAAAGTACAAGAAGTAGAACAGTCTCCATTTGGAATTGTTACTTTCAATACACAATCGAGAGAGCAAAGATACAATTTTGGGGTTTCTTGATTTCCAAAGAGTATTAAGTAGTTTTTTATTAGTCTCAGGATCTTTCACGAATCACAGAGTGTATAATATTTTTTACAGGATTCGTGCTAGTGCTATATAAGTTTGGGATATTGACATTGTAGCAAAATTAAAAACGAATTTTCAAATTGGCAGCGATTCTTCGCCATTGACCTTTGAATATTTGATACTAAACGAAAATTACATAAAATATATATTGAGGACCTATGAACAATCTTAAAAATATCCTCTTGTACTTTTTTATTCTTTTCAATCTTCGTCAAAGCTATGAATATTTTTTTATTTATAATTGAAAATTAAATAATTTAAAAATATTTATCTACCCTATTTTGGCTTGATTTACTTGTCAAGTCAATAAGTGTTGAAAATCCACAGTTGCTTGCAAGACAAGTAACTGTGAAAGTAAAAACGCAATAATAGCAACTGTTTAATAAATGTGATAATATCCTATGGTGTTATTCTGTGCTATGAAACCCTGTGTAAATCATTCCCCTTCCTCATAGAGGAATTAAGTTAAGTTATGGTTCTATCATAATCTATGCAACCATTAGTATTTTCAACGTGTCCACTTTACCAATTCAATCTGCCAAATTTTTTTTATAAATTATGTTAATACCATCTATAAGCAACATACAGGATTTCTCCCCAAGTTTCCTTTAAAGTGTATTAACGTTTGTATAGAAAGAGACTTTATCTTAAAAGTATGAAAAGGCTTTCAAATCCTTTCTTTGGCCAAACATTCAACAAAGAATGGAAACACGATACATTCCATCTATTCTATCTTTCTCTTCTCAAGTTGTATTCAAACATAGAGACCGTGTTTATACTTTAATTCATAAATCTATATTATTTTTACACTATGGTTATGGAGAAATGTCATGTATACTAACAGCTTCTGTGTACTAGTACCTTCTAGTACTAATTTAGCTTTAGCTATTGATTCGATAGCAATTGATTAAGCCAGTGTAGGCCTATAGTTAAACAATTAGCACATTGTAGTTATAGATTAATAAGTTATTGTAATTTAATAGCAACGCAATAGAAACAAAATACAGAATAGTGTTTTAATTTATATTATACAGATGGATGAACATGTGTGCCATTCTTAATTATATTAATCAAAAATTACTTTTTTTAATACTTTTCTAAAGAGAGATTAGATTAAATCACAATTTCAGGCAAGTGTAATAGATGAATAGAAATATTCAGCAGAAAAATTATTGTGTACGGGTTATAAATACGGTTGGCACAATCTTGCTCAAAGATTGTATTTGTGTTGTTTAAAAAAAAATACAAATATACTTATTATCTTAAGTTTTGAATTATAAGAGTGAATACTGTGTCTGAAAAATATGTTTAAAGGGTTAAGTGTAAGAAATTGTTTTGTGGCCCAAGCTTTGCCTGCTAAAACAATTAGTTGTATCAAATAACTGACTCTAGTGATAAATTAGTTAAGATATTCCTACCTTATTCTATAAGAAATGTGTTTAAAACTGTAATTTTTACGAATTCGGAAATTCATAATTACCTTATTATTTAGTAACTACAATGGAAAAATTAATCGTTTTTAACAACAGTACGTTTTACTTTTTAACAAATAAGATAAGATTACCCATATACAATATATACATTTTTATTGAGAGTCCTAAATGAATGACAAATTTCACGTGGGTGTAGGTCATCTTCCAAAGGCGAATGTGTTGCCATAGCCTCCTTTAACGCGAGGAGGTCCGTAGAAGTCCAGACCGTACTCAACTGTAAACAATACAGGTATTAACATCCTCTGAATACTATTGTTGTGTAAAAGGTATAAAATGTGATTTGGTGTAGGAAATAGTACTCGTATAAGTGTAAGGCCAAAACACGTCTACGTCGTGTGCAGCTAATTCCAAAATTTACATTTACTAGATATGTTTTGGATACTCAAAATCTGAATCAGGAACACTTTATTCAATATTTACTTCATATCAATAAGAATGGCTTCAATAAGTATACAATTCTAGAAAGGATTATCGAAATACTCATTGAATGATTAGTAACATTTTCCACATCGTCCAATTATAAATAATACATCCAATTTATTTTTAAAATGTCTTAGTATTATTAAAGAGTAAAAGTACTTTGTACCTGCTGTAGGTGTTTTTATTAACTATTATAATTAAACAATGAGACCATCCTTTTTCTCTTTGGATTACCTTATTAAAAAATTACTGCAAGGGACAGTCATAACTGGTACCTAACGTGTGCTATTTTTATATCATGATGTTACACAAAGAATTCGACCATACACAACCAAAACATTCAAGCAAAACCTGTATACAGTGTTTTAAGAGTGTAATTAAATTGAGTTATTGAATATTTTTATAGTATGGTTTTTTACCGTTTTTGGGTATTATAGTTTGTTTTTGTCAATACATGAGAGGTCTCCAGGTAAAATTCCACATTTTCATTTAATTCGATCAATGGTTCACTCTGCGCTTGAGTCTTGTTTGCGGTAAAGGTTATTCAACTAATATAAAAAGAATCTATCGTATTTAAATTGCTTTCATAATATTATATTACATATTTTTAATATACCATTTGTTTTGGGGTATAATAATACTCGTATTATGGGTAAACTTGCTCTGTAAAGTACGAGTGATTTAAATTTAATGGGAAATGGAGGTGGATTTGTTCAAACAATTATACTTAGTAGTTCCTAAATGAATAAATTCTTTAACACCTTATCGAATTATATTCTATAACTGGATAGCTACGTAGAAGGCCCTATAAAAGTATCATGGAGTCTTAACTCGTCCTTATTTAGTGTAACTTCTTTTAACTCTCAATACATAAGTAGTATATTATTAAGGACGTTTACAGAAAAATTACCCAATGAACAGGCATTACTAATATAATTGCAGGGGTGGGATAGACTATAATAACAGTATTGCACATTGCAGTATTGCATTTATATAAAGAATACAATAAACTGTTTTCAATACAAATTGAAATAAAATTGCTTATGGTAGGTAGTGATATACTTTAATTACACAACAGCGAAAGCTAGTCTAAAACCCAAGATTAAAACTGATTTTTCAAAAATGTGTTGCAATCTCAATTAATTTATGTTATTACACAATTTCATAACTCTATACGAAGAAATTATAATTCATGAGTTAACATTTGCAAATAAAACAATTTCGGTTCTCCAGTAAAAATATGTTGTCTTTAAATATCTTTAAAATATTTATGTTCAGACAATCATAAACAACGTAATTTTCCGTCGTACGAATAACATGTAATAGAATAAAGACCTGTCTTTATGTAAGGTACCTCGTGCAGTACTTTTCAGCTCTTGAGTCACTTTAGGAAATATAATCTCAGAACTCTAATAATATTGAAGATTGCAAAATTTCTGTCCTAAAGACATAAAACATAATTTTAAGATTGAGTTATTCAATAACGATACAATATTATTAAATCAATGCTGCTTATTAAATGACAAACCTTCGTCGCTATGTAATATCTTTATCGATATTAAAAACATTCCTTACGACAGAAAAGCTATCGGTCTTATATTGCAAACAAAGAAACACTGATGCTTTTGTAACTTGCCAGCGCTAAGATATTGTTTAGAAAATTGAGTTGAGTATTTCCGTCAGTACTATTTCATCCAAATATGACACAGTTGATTGAATTGCAGCCATACCTTGAATTTAGGAAAATCCAACATAAAATGCTTTAAAATATAAACACAAAATCGTTGGTTAAAATTAAATATAAAACTTTTGTTTACATGTTACACTTAGAGATTAAATAAATGCCTTCAGTGGGATTGCTATAAATGTTATGATTGTTTAATATTGTCATAGAGATGCATCTTCGCACAATTTCCTGTAAAGACAGGAAAACTGTGTCAAGGTCAGTTGTAGTTGTTTTGCAGAAATTAAATCCCTCATAACATTATTTAGTATAGATCTTAATATTGTTATTCATGAAGTTAAAATCTCGTTATAACTACTCTTTATTTGAGGCATTTAACGTCCTAGTGTAGCATTTTAGATTTTAGTTCTTAATAACATTTCTATAAAGAATATATCTTACACAAATCGTGATTTTCCAAATGTATGTTAATTCATTTACTAATAAAAATAATAATGACGTATTAATTATATAATTATTGTATATTGGACAACAATCCATATATAAATCACAAAGTACCCATGAACTTCTGAGAAAACTACAAGTCACACCCCCCCCCCCCCCATAAACCATATACTTAAAATGTTCTTCATGACGAGAACCCTTGTGCAAAACTATCTATTATTTCATAAATTGTCCTTTAAGGTCGTAATTCCTTTCTAAAGGGAACTTTCCATATACCTAATGTTAAAAATACCTCATATGTACTTATTTGTTTGTTATTCTTTCACTAAACTTATTACATACCTATAGTTCAGCCACTTAGAAAACAACCTGCGCGCTAATGCTAAACCAATGCTGGAGGAGGTCGCTTTCTAGTGGCTGAACTATAGTCTTGCAGTTCAAAATATAGTGTTTGTAGTCTACTACATATGTTTCACCATATATGGCATTCTCAAGTGGTTACAGAAACATTTTATCCGATTTGGACTCGTCAACATGTTACTTCAAATACAAAAATATTTACATATGACACCAAAATAAATAAACAAATAAAAAAAACATTTAAACATGTAGGCCTACAACACATAACCCCACCAACGGCACTGACTGAGTTTATGTAATAAGTTTAGTCTTACTACGCAGTTCAGGGGCTACAAAATGAAATTTTATTCTTTCAATTTACT